CTCTCTCTCTCTCTCTCTCTTCTTCTTTTTCTTTTCTTTCTCTTTTTTCTTCTCCACTTTCTGCCCCAGCTAGTTATCATATGCGCTGTTTCTGAATCAAGTGATTGTGTACAATCCCTCAGTCCGTTACATGGAGGTTTGTTTTCTGATAGGATGGTTGGGATAGGAGTGTTGGAACATTTAGACCGCCTGGGATCGGTTTTCTCTGGTACTATTAAGGTTGGAGGTAGCAGCAAATAAGCAGCATTTGAACTAGACATCTTGGGCTCACCCTCGAACAAATGAAACAATCACAATCACAATTTGATATTCTTCTTCTTCTTCAGGTGGTGGTACCATTTTGATTGTTTTTTTCTGCTTCTAAATACTATGCAGAGTGGAGATTTCGTTTCCTCGAAACGTCTATAACGGTTTGGCCTTGACGTGGTGGTTGCGGTATACATTCCATGCCATGCCATGCCATGCCTGTCCTCCTTTCCTTTCTTTCCTTCCTTCTAGCCTCCACCGATAAATGGTACATAGCTAGGTAGCAGCGCCCACCCAGGAACGGTATAACAGAAAAAAGAAAATGAAAGCAAGGCCAATCCTCTATTTTCAACCCATCCCATCCGCCCATCAACCGAGCCACACAACCTGACCGAAACACACAATTGTCGGCTGGCGGGGCCCCCGGTTCGAAACCAAGCCATCCACCCAAGAAGAATTTGACACCGAACGCCACCCGCTGATATATGACCGATATGACCAGACCCAAAGAATCCAGCCCAGAAATAACTTTTGGAAAGAAAAGTAAAGAAAAAACAAAATCAAGATCATAGCCTCCCCTCTCTTTTTTTCCTTCCTTCCTTCTATCCATCCATCCTGCATCCCAAATCCAAATGACCTCTTTTTTTTTTTTGCAATAATACCCCCTTTGAAGCCAAGAAAAACAGTAAAACCGTAACACAATCAGCAATGATGTCATGATGCAAACTTTCTTGCTAGAGGGGGTATCATAAAAAGTCATACGACCTTACCTTGCAGTACCTTACTTTCAAAAAAAAAAAAAAAAAAAAAAAGAGGAGGCCGTGATCAAAATCAGACAACCGGAAAAAAAAGAAAAAAGAGAAACCGCGACACGATAATACTCGAGACAGCTGCTCTACGCAGAAGCCTCCTCAGCATTACCGCCACCAAGCAATTCCAGCACCTTGTTGACAACAGCACTGGGATACCCACGACCGAGCATCTCGCTCACGACACCCTTGGCGCTCTCACGCTCTTCAACAGCGAGGAACGCGCGGGTCATGGCCTCGTAAGTGCTCGGCTCCCTCTTCTCGCGACCAACAGAGGCGTAGATGTCCTTCGCCTTGGCAATGTTCTTCTCGGCCGCCCATCCATGGATAAGAGTGTTGGCGATGTACGGAGTCATGTCGATGCGCCTGGCGCGCATCTCAGCGAGAATGGGCTCGGTATCGGCAACGTGGTGGTTGGCGACCATGGCCTCGAACAAAGCCTGGAAGAGACAGGGGCTGGGAGCGATGGAGACATCGTTGATGACCGAGTCGAAGACCTTGCGGGCGCCATCCATGTCGTGGAGGACGCAGCCGCGGGCGTGGATGAGAGAGGCGTAGTGGACGGGCTCAGGATGCTGACCGGAGGCACGGATCATGTCGAGAACGGATTCGGCGGCGGTCAGATCAACGGGGTCGAGGGTGGCGTGGGTGTCGACGAGGAGCTTGAACGTGTGCGAGGTCGGGGAAATGCCCTTGGCCTTCATACGCTCAAAGTACTCGAGGACCTTGGTCTTGTCGCGCTTGGTGGTCAGGAAGAACTGCATCATGCTGTTGTAAGGGGCGGGGCGGGCCTTGTAGTTGGGCATGGCCTCCATCTCGTCGAAGAGCTCCTCGGCAAACTTCTCGTCGCTGACGCGGCAGAGAGCGTTGACAATGGTTCCGTAGGTGACAGAGGTAGGCTTGATACCCATCTTGCGCATCTCGTTGAAGTAGAAGAGGCAGTCATCGATGCGACGAGCCTTGCCGAGCTTGCCGATCAGCGCGTTGTAGAGGAACGAGCTGGGTTCGACGCCCTCAGCCTTGGCCCGGTGGAAGATCTTGACAGCTTCAGAAGCCTCATCGAAAGTCTTGGTAGACTCCTTCAGGGTAGTGATGTAGAGACCGAAGGTGTTGGCAGAGGGAGTAGAGCCCATGGCGAGCAGCTCTTGGTGGTACTGCTCGGCGCCGGCCCTGTCACCCCAGGTGAGGCAGGCACCAACCATGGCATCCAGGATCGAAGACCAACCGTAGCGAACGACAGCATACTGAGGGAGAAGTGGGACGTCGGTGCGGGCCATGGCGAGGATGTCGAAGCAAAGATCCATCTTGCCGTCGCGGGCAGCAGCAGAGATAAGCTTGGCATAGGTGATGTAGCGAGGATGACGACCAGCACGGCGCATGTTCCGGAAGCGAGCGAGAGCATCGTTCAACTTGGGCCCCTTGCGACCATTGCCTTCAAGATCCTCGGAGATGAGCGCGGAGCCCTTGAAGTCGGTGCTGTGAGCATATGGGTCGAAGGTGTCCTCGATAGATGGGGCCGGAGTAGCCGGGTACGGAGCAGCGCTGAAAGTCTGAGGGGCGTATGAGACAGGCGATGGGAGCGTACGGGGGTCAGTGACACCGCGGGCAGCCATGAACTCGTGAATGAACTCGGCAGCCTCCTCGATCTCATCAGCCACCTGCGACTTGGTCTCAGCGGTAGCACTCTCGCGAATGCGATGGAACATGTGCTCGGCTTCAGTCAAGCCTTCGACAACCTGGCCGGAGCCAATGAGTGCAATAGCGAACATGGCGGTGGGCTCAATGAAGGACGAAGTGGCCTTGACCTCAGGGTGGCTAAGAGCGGCCCAGTATCTGGCAGCACTGGCAACATCGGCTTGGCGCACGCTCATGGCGAGCAAAGCAATTGCAGGATCGGCGGCCTCGTCGTGAGAGGCAATGGTGGAGAAGGCAGAAACAGCAACGTTCTTGTAGCCATGGTCGGCAGCCGCAATGGCAATTTGGCTCATGACATGGCCCCTGGCACCCTGCTCCACGCTCTGGGCCCAGCGGAGTGCTTCCTCGTAGATACCGCGGTCGAGGAATCCCTTGACGAAACCACCGCTGATGATAGCGTCCTTAATATCCGCAACGCTGACGTCGTACTCCTCAACAATCTTCTTGTAGAACTTCATGGCGCCCTCAAGCTTGTCAGAGACAACGTAAGCATTGATGACTGCAGCATAAACCTGGGCGTCGAGGCGATCCTGAAGAGTGGGCTCGCCATTGTCGTTGGCAATGGCGAGGCTGCGGTACTCATTGTAGCACTCGACGGCACTGATCAAATCACCCGCGTTGGCGAATGCTGTGATCATGGCGGGGAAGGTGGCGGCGAACGGAGTTACCCGGTTCGCCTCCAGATGCTCAAACAGGTGAAGCATGTCCGACACCCGACCAGACTGAGCACAAGCAGAGATAAGTTGGTGATAAGTCTCGGAAGAGTAGGCAGCCTTGTCAGACTTCATGGAAGACTGGAATAGCCTCAAAGCCAAGTCCAGACGATCGTCCTCACAAAGGATGGCATAATCGAGCTCCTGAGAGACAAACATGAACTTGCCAGGCTCGTCCATGCCACCGAAGCGGAGACGCTTATCCTGAAGAAGACTCTTGGAAGCAAACACCTCGAGCGAGCGAGAGGCAAGCAAGCCAACGAGAATGTTGTAGGTATCACTGTCAGGAGATACCTTGCGCTTGAGCATATCAGCGTAGACATCCAGGGCCTTGGACACAATCTCGGATTTCTCCGAGGGAAGGTGAATAGCAGCCATGAGGAGGGCATTGTAGGCGGTCGCAATAGGCTGGATGTTAGCGAGCAGCATGCCCTCGAACACGGCAGGAATCTCGGCATAGCGGGCAGCCTCGGAGAGCTTGGTGAGGTGGACGGCGTAGCTGATAGATTGAGCGTCAAGCGGAGGAGTGGCAGACCGGGCGACGCTGGCGGGGGTGCGCAGGTGAGAGGCCGGAGTGCGGGATCGGGATCGAATCTCTTCCTCCAGCTTTTCGGCAAGGGCGGGCGAAGTGGCCCGAAGAGACTCGAGTTCCTCCTCGACGGCCTCTAGCTGTTTCCGAACCTCGATCTCCTCTTCGATTCTAGCGTTGATGTGAGCGAGGGCGGCCTCAGCCTCTGCCGGAACCCGGGAGACGCCATCATCTAGTTGGGCAACTTCGTCGGCAGCCAAAGCGAGTGTATGTGCGTCTCCCTGAGCGAGGACGGAAGCAGCTGTTGGCTTCCACTCGATAAGCTTTGGGAACTGGAACTGAACCCATTCCTGATCTTGTTCTTCTCCAGCCTCTTGGGCAGCCTGCGACTTTTGCAGCTGCTCATAGTAGGCATCCAGAAGACCGGCATTGCTGGGGAGGGCCGTCGTCTTGTTGTCATGGCGAACCTCGACGGAAGTGCCAGCGTTCAGGTTGCTGCTGGTGCGGAAAGCATCCTGAAGACCGAGCTTGGAGAGGCGGCCACCCAATCTCGTGCTGCTACGCCGAGCAAAGGATGGCCTGTTCTGGGGGTTTAGAACATTGTGATGGGTGGCAGCTACGAATGACTGGGCGTAGCCGTGGGTGAAGGACTTTGAGAATCCGGAGCGGATAACGTTCTGAAAGACGGTTGAGTAGACGGAGGGCATTTAGGAGACACCTGGGGAGGAAGGGGTCTGTGTTTTTGGGGTTGATGGGTTAGCATGGTCATTTTTGTCATTTGTTGATATGGCGATATAAACATGTCGGAGTGTTGGTGTTTTGGTGCTTTTTGGTGCTTTTTGGTGCAATGATAACCGACTCCCCCACCCGTTCTTTCGAGATCCCCCACTTGAGATGGGCCACACAAAACATGATGATAGCAACTTGATATTGGCCCTATCCTCCCTTTCCCGAATGTTTTGTTGCCACACAAAGGAAGGCAAAGGAGGAAAGCATGGCGGTTGGGGTGTTCGATAATCCGGGCGATATTGATGAGGTTGTTTGGAGAATGGCGAGGGCAGGGCAGGAGCTGATAACACCGAAAAAAGATAACGGACGAATGGGAGCGGTGGTCGACTTACAGGGTAAGAAGGGTCGATGCGCAGTTGCAGGTTCATTTGACGACAGTTAAGCCGTCAAACAAACGCGCGATCTAGGGAGTAAATATCTCGTAAAGAGGGTATTGGGAGGGAAGCTGTTCGAAAACAACCAAAAGTGAAAAAAAAAAAAGAAAGATTGACTGCGTGTGGTTGAGGAAAAGGCAGGATGGATGCGTAGTTTATTTGAAGTGTGTCGGCCCCGGTGTGTGGCCCGCGTGCCGGGTACAGGACGATGGATGCCCTGAATAACTGAAATGTGGATGATCACTGGTCGCTTGTAGCTTTTTTTTGCGATTTTTTTCTGCCAGGCCGACCACTGCATCGATCGACGCCCTGGCGGACTGTCTCCTCCTGCCACCCGTTTGCACGCCGAGCCGAGTGATTCTGTGGAAGGAGGCAACCAGGGTGGTTTAGCGGGTGCCGTTTCTCGCTGCGGGGGCTTGTCGTCGTTGTTGGAGTCGCTACGCGGGTGGACTCGGGACCAAACGAGCCAAATTAGTCAGATGCTAGCGTGCCTTCCCGTTGCTCCAACAAAGTATCTCTGACTTGGAGTTATGTCCCGCAGTACCTTTTTCGATAGTTGAGCATAGACTTCGATGGGGGCTTTCTTGTCAGTCACCGATGCTGTACTCGGTACCTGATCTTGACAGGACACGGCAGTGGAAGTGGAAGTTGGAGAAGTTGTATTACGTGAACTGTTGAAAGCTGAAGAGCCTTCTCAACCAACTTTGAGAACTTGATTCCTTCGTGTCAACGGGCTGTTAAGAGCAATAACCTCTACGTCAGAATGTGATGGGGAAGAGTTGGATAGTATCCCCTCCGAGACAGTCCATGATACCAACAAGACCCAAGGACGGACTATGTACGTATACTATCTGTTCGGAGGCGTTCACCTCACAAGAGAACAGCTTGGCCTCAACTGTTTCAACATCGATGGACCCTGACCGTGTTCCAGGTTCAGACGGCTGGAGAGATGTTGACCAACAGAACGAAACCACAGCCATGTCTGTGTCCTCAGGTTCGTCTCCTTGGCCTTCTGTCAGATTCGAACCTCCTTGCTGCGACTCCATATTGTCATGGCGATGTATGTCTACGGCGTAGCACTTGTACGTGTAAACAGTGACACGCGTCCATCGTTGCCTCCTCCTCCACCCTTTTTGGCCATCTGCGTCTTTGATATTCTTTCAGAGGCTGTGCGCGGGTGCCATGCAACCATGGTATCCTCCAGCCGATATCTTCCTGCCACTTTCTCCCGCTCTTCCAAACCGGTCGAATGCGGTCCGTAGGATTCATGATTCCCCCATCAGCTTCTCGATCTCGCTTCTCGATCTCGCTTCTCGATCCCGGTCAACTGGTGGACAAGATGGAATTGGTGGATATTGAATTGAAGGGCTGTGGATGGACGGAACCCTCGGTGGTGGTGGAGGGTTCTGAAAGTGGGTGCAGAACTGCAGATGCGCCCCCGCGAGCGCCCCGCAAGAATGGAATGCGAAAGTGAAGAGAAGAAACCGGCGCCAGCTGGCCAGTCCCTTTTGCTAGGACGCTAACAGGGCTGGGGTCTTTTAGCTGTGCTTCTTCTGCAAAAGAAGGTCTCTTTGCATTAGTCCCTTGCAGCAAGCGACTTTCCCCAGGTTTCGAATCCACCACCGGCTGGGATCTTGCCATTCGTCAATCTTTAACATCCCTGAAGACGGGCGCTGGAAGCTTCAACGTCCTTTTTCGGTTTTCAATGGGGACTGCGACATTTGCAAACTTTTCTTTTCTTCTGTCTTCGTATTGTTGATGCCGCCGCAGTGACACATTTGATGGAGCTCAAATGGCAAATTGTTCCAAATCTTTGTATCCGGTTTTGAGTTGCAACATCTTTCAAGATCTCGAACCTTTTACAGTTGAAGTGAGTGTGAGAAAAGCAGACGGACATAAGGAATCGTTAACTCCAACAGTTGCCCATCTTGGCCATGTATGCTGCATCTTTTTGGTTTCCTTTTTCCCCAGCTCGCGGAAAGTAAATGCGACAGTTTACGGTTAGAATGCAACCACACCCATTGTCTATTGTGACACTTGACCAGCTCCTTCGCTTATCAGATCCGATCATCGCCATCTTGAAAGAGGAAAGCGGTGACATAGTGGTCGTTCCTGGGAAGTGCTTGGTTGGCCCTGGGATCGTGAAAGAGTCACACGTGCATCTGACAGCATCTGCGACGAGAATTTGCCGTTACGAGTCGGGCTTTGCAATGCCCCGTCCGAGCCGCACTCAGCTCTCAACAAGACCCTTGTCGCCATGCCTCGTTCTCAATCAAAGGTACGTACCTTTCTCAGAGGTCACACTGACACCGGAGGACCCCACCCCTCTGACCTCTCCCATCTACACAGTGGACCTCCGTATTCCCAACCAGGTCCTACCTCCGGCATCCGGTCCCGATTATCACCGAGGCCGCTCGGAGCAGCGGAGCCGGATCAAGGCCGAGAGCTTGGCTCTTTTGGGACGTTAGCGTCGGACCCACGGGGGTCTTGGAGATCACAACAGATCCACCGACAAATGGACTGTGAAAATCCACAATTTCCATCGAGGCATTTCCCGGCCAACAGCCACATGACAGCTTCCTATCCAAGATCTGGACCAACAGGCCGCGGGTTGGGGATAGTTGCCTCGGAGGAACTGGTTCATGATGGTTTCTTAGTGCCTGATTATCATTTTCAACAAGACACCTATATAGGTACATACTGCTCTTCGCTTCTGTCTTTTCCCACATGGTAGTCCCGGCACCCTGTTCACAGCTCCAGTCCCGAGGCACCAAACACTCATTCTACATCTGATAATCACCAATTTGGCAAACACCATCATGACAAGTTCGGTTACCTGGACTGACTGCTATTGATACAACTCGATTGCAGCTTGAAAGATGGGAGAGATTTTGATGAGACCCCAATGATACCTGGCTCTTGACAATTACTTCACCTCTCATCGATCTTACTTGTGTTTTCAATAAGCACCTTCCTCTTCGAAAGAACTCTAAAATTGAGAAGCAGAAAATGGCAAGAAAAGTAGTGGTCGCTCCTTCTCAGCTTCGTGCCAAACAGTTCGTGATGTTGATGTTTAAAACGGAAGGGGCTCACCACTCGCCCCGCATTGTCGGAGACATCGACCCCACCTGAATTTAAGCTCTCCTGAATGGCTCTTGATTCGAGATTCACCACCACTGCAACAACTCACCGTTGTCCCTGACGATCATTCCAATCATCAACCTCCATTTGGCCCGTACAACAACACATCTGTTAAACGTTTTGGTGATATTTTAATTCATCATCGAGTATTGTTACACCACTTTTCATCATTACAGTTACACCACTTTTCATCATTACACGTCAACGCCAAGCTTGAACCCCCTTTCCCTCTCACTAAAAAACAGCCGTCACCATAGGAAGCAACATGGCTCTGGCCGTCTCGGCACCCGGCAAGGTCCTCCTTGCAGGCGGATACCTCGTCCTCGATCGCAACTACACCGGTCTCGTCTTCGGCCTCAGCGCCCGCATCAACGTCATCTCCCAGGACATCCAAGCCAGCCCAGGCGTCCACATCAACGAGATCATCGTCAAGAGCCCTCAGTTCCTGAAGGCCGAATGGCGCTACGGCTACCACCTGACCCAGGAGGACGGCGGGATCAAGACGATCCAGCTGCAGGGAGGCGTCTCCTCCTCGGCCAAGGGCAACCCGTTCGTCGAGACCACGCTCAACTACGTGCTCACCTACATCACCCGCCGCGCCGCCTACGGGACCACCAAGACCTTGAAGCCCGTCACCCTCACCATCCTCGCCGACAACGACTACTACAGCTCGCCCACCAGCAGCAGCGCCGGCATTAAAGGCAGCGGCAGCGGCAACCGCTTCGCCGGCTACTCCACCACCCTGGAAGACGCGCACAAGACGGGCCTTGGCTCCTCCGCCGCTCTCGTCACCGCCCTGACCGCTTCGCTGCTCTCGCATTACCTAGACTCTTCCCTTTTCAACCTCGCCACCGACGAAGGTAAGCGCATCCTGCACAACCTCGCGCAGGCGGCGCACTGCGCTGCTCAGGGTAAAGTTGGCAGCGGCTTCGACGTGGCCGCCGCCGTTTACGGATCCAGCCACTACCGCCGCTTTTCGCCCTCCATCCTCTCCTCGTTGCCGGAGGCTGGCAAGCCCGGGTTCAGCGCCAAGCTGTTCAGTGTCGTCAACGGCAAGGATGCTGAGTCCACATGGGATACCGAGGTCGTGAAGGACGCCGTCAGTCTGCCCAAGGGCGTGGCGGTGCGCATGTGCGACGTCGACTGCGGCAGCCAGACGGTCGGCATGGTCAAGCAGGTGCTCGCCTGGCGGGCGGCCCAGCCTCAGGAGGCCAAGGAGTTGTGGGATGAGTTGCAGCGAAGGAACGAGAAGCTGGCGAGCGTGTTGAAGGAGGGCAAGACGGAGGAGATCAGGCCGGCGGTGCACGCGATTCGTGAGCTGGTGAGGAAGATGGGCAAGGAAAGCGGGGTGCCAATCGAGCCGGATAGTCAGAAGGAGTTGTTGGATGCGCTGGAGGAAGGGGTGGAAGGGGTGTATGGTGGTGTGGTACCTGGTGCGGGAGGGTATGATGCGCTGGCGTTGCTGGTGAAGGATGATGAGGAGACGACGAGGAGGTTGGAGGAGTTTTTGCAGGGGTGGAGTGCGAAGAAGGGTGGGAAGGTTAAGCTGATGGAGGTTAGTGGGGAGATGGAAGGCGCGAGGAAGGAAAATTTGCTCAAGTATCAGGGGTGGGTTTAGTAGTCCGCCTTTTGGGTGAGGTGAGTAGATGAGGGCGTGAGAGCAGGAGCTACAGCGTTGGGTATATACCTCTAGCGAGTTGCGGTATGGTGATTGTAGATAGTCGTTTTTGAGTAACCAACTACTTAATAATCATAGTAAATAGTTCATCCGTACCTGGTCACGTTCCGCGAGTGTTTGAGGTATGTGGGTGTTGATGTGCGAAAGACTATGATTTGAAACTCACGGTGTTCAGGCTATCAGTCATTACCTGTAGAGTTATCTACCAGGTGTATTTCTCCGTCGACGACACCATAAAGGCACAGCCCAAGATCACATCCCTTTCGTTTCTGCTGTAACAAAAAAAAACATATCGTACAATTTCTACCGACTTTTCTTTTCTTTAGGTATCAATCTGGCACATCCGCCCTTCCTGCCCAATCCAAATTTTTCTGTTAACCAAGACTTTTAACTCTGACTCTCAACTTTAGACTTCCCGACATCCACCAACCCAACCCACTTACTTAACCGTCCAGTTACAGTAACTCCATCTCCATCCAACCAACCTTCCAGCATTCTGACTATTGTTCCTTTTTGTTTCCTTGTTTCCTGAACGATAATATCTCCGCAACGGTATGTCTTTTTCAAAATGTCCAGTCTAGATCCTCTTTCCCGCCGCCAACGACCAAAACCAGGATAAAAAGAGAAGAAAAAGAAAAGTAGAGAAAAAAGGAAAGATAAGAAAGATAAAACCCCAAGCCTAGGTCTATGTGTGGACCCTGGTCAGGTGGGTAAGGTAGGTAAAGTAGGTGGTATTAGTTTTCTGTGAATACTCTGGGGACGAACGAGCGAAAGCAAGATAAAAGATCTCAAGGAAAGTAGCGAAAATAAAAGAAAGGAAGAAACTTGTCCATATTGTACAGATGAAAGCCAAAAGACGAAGGACCAACAAATATACGATGCCGCCCTGCTCATCACTCTAAGCAGAGACCCAAACCAAGCACACACACAACTGGCTCATATCAAATAGAGGTATCCATGGTATCCATGGTCGGTCGATCGATCGATGTTGGCTCAAAACTCCATAGTCCCAGCCTTCTTCCGTTGTACTCTTCGAACACTAGCACCTCTCTTTGGGCCCTGGCTCACATCGTCATCGTCATCATCAAGACTGAGTGGGCTGACCGGACTAACAGGACTAATGGGGCTAATTGGGATTTGGCTTCTTCCCAGGACGAATAAATCCAAGTCTGCTGTTGGTGAGACGGCTGACACTGCTGACATGGCAGATACCTCCGAGGTGGTGGCAGAGGCGGGGGCCGATATGAAAGTCTCGGTGGCTGTTGAGGTTGTTGTGGTGGGGGAGGGGGATGTGTTAAGCTGTAGTTTTGCTGGATGTTGTGACTGCTGATGCATTTGCAGGACCGGAGAAGAAGATGACTTGGGCGTTGTTGAGCCACTTCCACCGCTTCCACCACCACTACTCCTAAAACTTCCACCTCCACTTCCACTTCTGTTGATTAATGATGCCTCCTTGTTGTTTTGTGTCCTCACACTCTGTGCTTCACCGCCCACTTTACTTCCACGTCCAGTTCCAATTCCACTTCCACTTTCGAACCCCAGTCCTAACGGCGATGTTGGTGTCGTTGTCGTCGTCGTCGTCGTCGTCGTCGTCGGACTACCCGTCCCGCTCGTAGCACCGTTAATGGTCCCGATCCTGATAGGTAAGCTCAGACAAGGACTGGGCGGCCTCAACCCCGTTCCCATCTCCCCTCCGCCAATACCCAGGAGATGGTGGGAGGAGACGGAGACGGTGGGTGAAGAAGCGGAGTTGGGGACTGAGAACTTGCGAGGTGGTTGTAATCCTTGGCCATGGGAGTGAGAGGGGAGGTTGTTAAGGGAGAGACAGGATTTGGAAGTGCCTAGTTGTCTTTTGTTGGAAGTTGAGGGAGGAGGAGTGGTGGATGAGGAGGGAGTTGATAGGGCGAGGTTGGCCAAGCTGGAGGAACCGCGGAGTTGGCTGTGGCTTTTGGATTTGTTCGTGTTCCTGTTGCGGTCTACACCGCGACGAGAGCGGGAGGAAGCAGAAGATGAGTGTTGGCGGAGAGGATCGAGGTGGGAGGCAGCGGCTTTGTCACGGTAGGCTTCGAGTCTGATGGGGCGAGAAGGTTAGGATTGTGAGCTTGCAAGGGGTGAGAAAGGGATAAACAACCGGCGAAGAAAGACATACTCTGCCTCTGTGATACCCGGAAGGACAGTGGTTTCCTTTTTGAAATTGTAAGGAGCCGACTGCCATGGGGATTTGACCGTTAGCGAAGTTCTTTTGAGTGATGTGGCCAGGGGTAACACTTACGATATCATGACCCTTGACTTGCTTCCTCCGCTTGATCCCCAAAAGCTCCTGGAGCGAGGCACGAAACCTCTTGAAGTTGGAGCAAACCTGCATTTTTGCAATGTGCCTACGGCTACCGCCCGGTAATTTCTAGAAGAGGAGAGAAAATGGATGAATGAATGAATGACCAGGGTTGTCGACGGCTGATCATTAGTGTATTAAGCGGTTTGTCATTGGAATGTATAAAACGAGAGTGACTGAGTTAGATAAAGACCGAATGAACCGAATCGGTATCGAAGGCCGCTTCCGAGTTGCGGCGCGTGCGCATACGTTGCGTCTAAGTGAGTGAAAGTAACGTGTCTTCTCGGGGCAGAAAAAGGTGCAAAGAAATGATAGGCGTTTGGCGTTACCGAGGTCGGCGTGTGTACCTGATGATAATGATGAACAAACAAAGGACTGTGAAATGAGGAGATAGCAGGAGATCTAAAAAATAAGGGGAGTAAGGGTAATGCCGAAGTGAACGGCGAAACTAATGACGCACAACAAAGTGCGGAACGAAGGAAGATTCTACTGTGACCGTGGAAAGAGCAGAAAAGGAGAGGAGGAACAAAAAAGAGAGTGAGTGGTGATCAGAAAGACAAAGGAGTGGCGAGCCCGTCCAACTGACCCATTGACTATCTCTGCTGGCCTTCTCTGGTGACAACCCAGTTGCGGCTCAGGAGTTTACCTCCTTCTGAAGATGAATCCGGGCACAGAGAGAGGCTTGCCTGAAGGGGACCAGACTTTCCCGGGAACCCAAGAGAGAGGTTAAAGAAGATATACTACCGCCGCATCGGATCGTCGAACTCGATTTGGTTAGGCTTCAGGAACGTATTCCCTTGGCCAGGGCAGGCAGAATGGAACATTGATACCCTCAAAGAGCTGTGGGTTGAGGTGAATGATTGTGAATGGACGAATGGACGAGAAGAAGATGGAGGTAAGGAGGAATGAAGAAAAGATTTCGCGGAAACCATGACCATGGCGACGCCCTTGCTAAGAATTCGGGATAAGGCCCTTGGAATGCGGAACAATTGATGTGGGATCTCCTTTGAGACATACCCTGAAGCAGAAAAGGCTGGTGTCTTAGATTCACTCAATAACAGGTAAAAGGGAAAGACTATCTATTGCTGATGATATGCAGCGCGCAGACGCCTGAGTACCTCCCTTATTGACGATTCAAGCCTCCTTGCGTCGAGGGCCGGGCGGCAGGGCGTTCGGAAACTCTATTTGGGATAATCCTTCAAGTGGTAGCTCTTCAACTTGACAAACTGGTCGAAGCCATACTTGCTCAACGTTTGGCCCTTGCCTGAGTTCTTCCAGCCAGTCCAGGCCAGATCCTGTGAGATGCGTGTCAGTGAAACGGCGTGGTAAATTTGTTGTCGCAGGGCACCGAGTACTTACAGGGCTGGGGAAATCGCAACGGTTCACAAAAACAGTCCCTGCCTCCACCTCCTCGGCGAGTTCGTATCCCTTGGCCGTGTCCTTGGTCCAGATGCTGGCAGTGAGGCCAAATTCGCTGTCGTTCATCAATTGAATTGCCTCGGCATCGCTCTTGACCTTCATGACTGGAATGACGGGCCCGAAAGTCTCTTCAGTCATGACGGTCATGGTGTGATTAACGTCGGTCAGTAATGTCGGTGCGACAAAGTTACCTTTGTTCGGCAGAATGCTGAATGTCTCATTCTCGGGCGTCGCATTTTTGGCGCCCTTGCCGAGCGCGTCCTTGGTGTGTGCCTGTATCGTTTCCTTGGAGCGCGCCGAGATGACTGGGCCAAGATGCGTCTCTTTATCCAAGGGATCTCCAAGCTTGTATCCCTTAAGAACGTTCTGGACGGCCGCAATAAACTCGTCGTGGATCTTCTTGTCCACGTACACCCGCTCAATCGAGCAGCAGCTCTGACCCGAATTGAAAAGTGCGCCGTCGACAATCTCTTCTGCGGCCCAGGCAATGTCGACATCACCGCGAACATATGCAGGGTCCTTGCCACCGAGTTCGAGGCCAACGTTGACGATGCGGTCAGATGCGGCCTTCTGGACGGCCAAGCCACCAGCAACGGAACCGGTAAAGCAAATGTTGGCGATCTTGGGGTTTCGCACAATTGTTTCAATGATTGTCGGCGAGCCCGAGTGGAAGTACTGGATGACGCCGTCCGGCAACCCAGCTTCGGCAAACGCCTTGGCCACCTGCTCGACAACAGTGGGTGTCTGAGGCGAAGGCTTGAGAATGACCGAGTTACCGGACAACAGAGCTGGAATCAAGGCGTTGACAAGAATAAGATAAGGATACTGTTTTAAAAGTTAGAAGGGCTAGAGTGTTAAAATATCATCTAATGGGCAACACTACTTACGTTCCAGGCAAAGATGATGAGAACAGGACCAACAGGAACCTTGCGGATGAACCTCTTGAATCCCTTCTCCTCCTCGCCATCGGTGTCCTTCAAAGCATCGTTGCTGATCTTGATTAGATACTCTGAGCGCTTGATGGCAGTAGCAACCTCCTTGCCCGTATAAGCAATGGGACGACCCATCTGGACCGTCAGTTCCTCTGCGAGTTCATCCTGCTTATCACCAAGCAGCTTCAAGGCCTTCTTGACGATGATCTGTCTGTCCTCCAGCTTGGTAGTGCGCCATCCTTGAAAGGCCTTGAAGGCAGTCTCGGGCAGTTGGACAAGTTCCTCCTCTGAAATGCCATTGCGAGTGATGATGGGTTCACCAGTGGTGGGCGAGATGGTGGTGATCACTTCGACCGACATGATGGTGGTGTTGGCAGCGTTGACGTATGTGCTGTGCTTGTACTGTTTGTTATGCTTATCGGCTAGTAAGTGATAGTGATGGTGATGTTGAACGGAGTGTTGGTTGGAGATGATGCGAGTCACAAGAAGGGAAAGAGAGTTAAAGGAAAAGAATGAGGATTTCCTTATGATTACATGGCCTCGTTATACCCTTCTCAAAGAAGGAAAGAGCAAACAGACTCGTTCCATCCCGCCGCCCTCATGACCCAATGACACCAATGTCGCCCCTCCGTCGCCGTCTCACTAACAAACAGGAACACGACATCACACAGAGTGGGCAGCAGGGCAACAGCTCCCCTCTCAGGGCTCCGCTCCGTTCCTCGGCGGCAGGCTGGGGGAGCTTTGATAAGATAAGCACCATGAACGGCGGGGTCTGCAGCAACTTGAAGGGATCTGCCATCTTATCTCTTATCGGTTGTGAGTGCACGGTCCAGTTTGCGCCAGTGGAGCCAGAAATTTTGAGAACGGCAGCGATTCCATCCATGTCCGTCCAGTGCTGCTTCCACGCCAAAAGAAGACCTGTGAATCCGTCGCGTCGTGATCTTTTTCCAAAGCAAACAAATCACTGCCACGAATCTCCCCATCCCAGCCCAATCCAATCTACCTGACCTCCGACCACGACGAAACCCCAACAACTACGATAATTCTCCTCATACAGTAATCAAATCACCATCAACAATGCCGGAAGACGACATTAGAAACAAGTTCCTCGATGCTGGCGACAGTGACGACGGTGCCGGTCACGGTTCCGAGTCGGAAGATGACTTCCAGAAGGGTGGTCGCAATGCGAAGCGCAGAAGATTGAGCGACGACGAGGACAGCGAAGCCGACGACTTCACCGACGCAGAGGAGGAACACGACGATGATGAGGCCGAAAGCAAGGATGCATCTGCAAAGGATGGCCAGGATACAACAGAAGGAAAGGAAGAAAAGGATGGAAAGAAGAAGAAAGAGAAGAAATCGGTACTAGAGGGTGACCTTCCGGGCATGACGAAGCCCCTTACAAAGAAGAATCTCATTGTCACGGAAGAGGCCATCAAGAAGTCGGGAGTGGTGTACATGTCCAGGGTACCACCTTTCATGACCCCAGCCAAGGTGCGCTCTTTGCTGGAGCCATATGGAAAGATGAACCGCATTTTCCTGGCCCCCGAAGACCCAATTGCGCGGCGCAAGCGCATTCGCAACGGAGGCAACAAGAAGAAGTCGTTTACAGAAGGTTGGATTGAGTTTGTCAAGAAGAAGGGTAGGTTTTGCTCCTGCGATGTTCTCTGAGACTTGAGGACAAAGAGGCTAACAAGAGAATTCGTTTACAGATGCCAAAAAGGTATGCGAACTGCTCAACGCTCGTCCAATCGGAGGCAAGAAGGGATCCTACTACCGCGACGACATCTGGAACTTGCTCTACCTCAAGGGTTTCAAGTGGCACAACCTGACGGAACAAATCGCTGCTGAGAACGCCGAGCGGGCCAGCAGGATGCGCGCCGAAATTTCAAAGACCACCAAAGAGAACAAGGAGTTCGTCCGCAACGTCGAGAGGGCCAAGGTGCAGCAGGGCATCCAGGCAAAGAAGGCCTCCAAGGGCAACAAGGAGGGCGGTGAGGGTGGTGCTACCGAAGTCTCGGAAACTACCCAGACAGCAACGACGACAAATGACAACTCGCGCGGCGAGAGGAGGAGAACGTTCAAGCAAATACCCTTGGCCAAGAAGAGGAAGCTCGATGAGCAACAGCCCGAGCAGGTACAAAGAGTGCTCAGCAAGATCTTTTAAGCTTGCGTTTGCCCTCAGAACAATGGGGTTGAGACTTGGTGAGACAGGAAGCGTTCATGTAGCTGTGGGATTTCTTCTCGTCAAAGCGACTGCGAGACACTAGAGATGGGGTTGTGTTAATTTTCTTTTCCTTAGGCAATTGTATATATTTCTCTGCCTTCAGTCATCTTGATACCCAAACTCATTTCCTTACGCATGGAGCACTTTCTACCTTCATCTTTTCATACCCCGGCGCCCTTCATCGAACAATTTGGACGGCTGAAGCCGGCCACACGTTTTACCAATCATGAACACGTTTCCTACCATCAGCGAAAAGACTGATATCCGCGATAGTACGGCCAGAACACGAGATGACTTCGAAGCTTGCCCAATCGGAACTGCTATTAGCCGGCAGATGTGTTGCCGAGGCTACACGATGCATTTAATTCAAGGTTACCTCCAGCGTATGATTGACGCGGACAATGAGGGCTGCGAACATTGTTCAAAGGGCCGTTGGAACGACATCTTGAAAGACACTCACTGGTATAAGTTTTTATTAGCAACCAAGTTTCGCCATGGTGGTGCTTTGACGGATGATAGCGTACAAGACTTCTTCCAGTCATGCTTTGAAAAGGTCGGGAAAAGATGGTGCCTCGACGATCATTTTTGCTTTTGCGATCTCGATACCGAGTCTTGCTCTTGGACGCCTTGTTACGGCAGACAACCCAGTTACGACGGAAGCGCAGCAAAATCACCAAGTTCTACGCCTTCATCATCCAGGTCTTCGTCGAGGAGTACATCCCCGACATGCACGGAACGATTTGCCAATTCATTCGTATCTTTGGCAGCAAACACCTCCCCAGAACCTGAAGCGACTCTCGACTCATCTTCTGCCTCCCCTCCACCCCCTACAAAATGGGACCTACTACTCTTCCAACCAAGCACAGTTGACATCCTGCCAGCAAACAATAACTGGTTCTCAAGACTCCGCCAAATCTTCGGCTTCTACTGGCAAAAGCTCATCTACAGACCCTTCTGCTCTCTCTATCGGTGGTTCCGGGACACGCAAGCCGACTTCCTGACTCTTGGTCCAAGTCTCGGGTCTCTCCTTGGACTAAGGACACCCACATCCATATTTCCATCTTTTACCCCGAGGAACGCAGAACAACAGTCAACCCCGCAGAGGCTGTTAGACTGGCCAAGTTCATCATCGCCAACAACTACTCCGTCTACCCAGAGTGTTGTCAGTAATGACGATGATAACGACGAAGCCACAGAAGATCAGCCACCCACGAGCCGAAGCCGAATGGCAAAGACAAGGGAGGAAGTCAAGGATTTGTGGTGGAAAGTCATGGCCAAGATTTTGGTGGCTGAGCATCGTGAGCGGAGAGAAAAAGAAGAGGTGGCTTCAGGTTCAGGCTGGGAGAGGGTGAGTATGAGGTCTAGGTCTACTTCACCTACTTGTAGATATTTCTCAATTAGCGAGGGGACTACTGATTCCTCCTCGCTGCGTCCTGAGGATTGTTTCTCGACTGTCAGTGGAGGGACTATTCACTTGGAAGAAGACGACGAAAACATACCTCTACAGGAGTCAACTACGGCCATCACTAGCGATAGCACCAACTCTTCTACTTATGAATTCGACGAGTGGTATGCTGATTGGCATGCCAACTGGCTGTTCGAACGTGTGCTGGATACCTCTCGCAAGTTCAGGTCGCCTGGATCGGAATCGAGGTTTTCTTCGTCGGGGGCGGCAGCGTCGGTCAATGGCAGCGACGATGATGAGGAAGTGGAAATGGAAGATAATGCCTCCTCCGCTAGCGACAGCGACAGAGAGGACATCTATATCTCAACTAGACCTGTCCTCATGACTTTCAGAGGTCGAAGAAGATACCGCCGTTCCTTCGTGCATGACGACACACCTCGCCGTGCTTCACCGGCACCCACCAGACCAACTCGTCGGAATAATCGGGACTCTATGTCTAGCATTTCCTCCTCTCCGGCCTGTCGCTCCCCAAGCCGCCGCTGCCGCTCACCTAGCCCCTTTTCTCGTAAAAGCCGGTCGTCAGCTAGAGCTAGCCCTTCTAGTCCCGTCTTTCGTCATCGAGCTCCCGTTTTTGGTCAACGGACTCCTTCGCCGCTGAATATCGACCGCTTTGCTCTTCCTCCTTCTACCTTTAATCTATCTCCCACCTTCGCTACTTCCATCTCTATCTCTTCTTCTCCCTCTTTATCCCGGCCTTCATCCCGGTCTTCATCCCGCTCTTCCTCCCCTCCAGCTTCTGGTCTACGCTCCCCATCTCCCTATCGCCTGTCCTCTCGCCCACCCTCTCCCTTCCCCTCACCTTCACCATCCCCATTAGCCTCCCGCCCATCCTCCCCTCTTACCTCTCGTCCACCATCCCTCTCCCCCTCCCCCTCAAACTCATCCTCACCATCACCATCTCTTCCAACCTCCACTCCTACCTCCCGCCCATCCTCCCCACCCCCAACCCCCTTCCCAAACACCCAATACCTCCTCCAAAAAACCGGCCTTCTTCAGCGCGGACATGGAGAAAACAAAACAGAAGATTACCTCTCCAACGCGCACCTCCTCCGCTTCCCCGCCACCGTGTCCGCGCGACTGATGATGACGGCTGAGACGCTGGGGGTGGACGAGGTGGGGAAACGGAAGTTGGTTCAGGATATGGTTTTGAAGCAGAGGAATCCTGGTGCTTCCACATCTACTGCTTCTTCTGCTGGTTATTCTACTGGTTCTTCGGTGTCAAAGACGGTGTCAGAGACGGGGGTGTTGGAGTCGGTGTTGGAATCAGGGTTTAGGATTGATGGGAGAAGAAGAAGCGAGGAGGTGAAGGGGTTTGATTGGGGGTATGGGATGGGGAGCAAGGATGGTGAAAAAAGAGGATGGGTATGGGAGTTGTTGAGTTGTTTACAATAGGGTGATTGGGGTGTAGGGGGTGCTTGATGAGTTTGATGTAGCTGGATGTAGCTGGGAGGTGGGTGGGTTATGTTATGTTATGTTATGTTATGTTATTTGGTTGTCTGCTGTTTTCTTAAAGGTTGTGGTTTTGTATGGTGGTGTTTGAGTGGTTTTGTGTAGAGATGGAGGGCTGTCAGTTGTGTTTGGGTAGCTTGCTAGGTATCTTCCATTTGTATTTCAGATACCTTGGTGAGTGTGAGAGCTTCTAGTGTCCTACATTAAGGCATTCTCGTGTTTTCAGATTCTTGTCAGCATTCGGCTGGTCACGTCCAAAGAGTTGATGAATCCTGTTCGGTTGATGCAATGTGCGTAAACAAATCTAAGGGGTATCTACGAAGCTCTAGCAAAACTTTTGTGGAAAGCAATTAATCTAGATGCTGTTCAAGTGACCGTCCTATTTGCAACATTATTCCTTATTTCCGAATTTCCACCGCAGCCTATTGCTATGCTGCACTTTTCTGCCAAAACATTCCTTTCGACTTGGTTCCTACCTAAGTCATCCCTACCCTAACTCCGTTCGCCTAAGCCAATTGTCCGGTGACTCGCTATGCTGCCTGCCACCAAGAAAGAAAAAGCCGATAAGTGCACGTGTGAAAACCCATGCAACAAAATGAAGTGATGAGTATGTGCGAAATTAGAAAGTGTGATTGAGCGTGCCGAGTTATGCTCAGGCGTCAGCGACCTTGGTCTGAACGGCCTGAAGCACTTCGCCCTCATCGATCTTGGCGCTTTCCTTCATCACCGGGTCCTCCTCCACTTCGGCATTGGGGATCTGGATGCCGTACTTCTCGTACGGGAAGGAGACCAGACTTGGAAGGTACTCCGCCCAACCATCGTCAATCTCACCGGGCTTTTCGGCGTCGGCGTCGCTGGGCTTTTCGGTGTTGGCGTCAATGGGCTTCTCGGGGACCGTCTCAGTGTCAGCAAGGACGTTGGTGTCGGTCTTCTTAGCGCCGTTGGTAAAGCCAGCTTCGGCCTTCTCTTTATCGACCTCAGCCGCCTTCTCCTTCTCAATCTCAGCTTGATTGAGAAGACCCGCAAGAACCAGCTTCTCGTCGCCAGTCTTGTCCACCTCCTGCTTGAGCATTGGGTGGGGGCACCAGATAACACGCATGCCCGCGCGGCGACCGGCCTCAACACCGGGAATGCTGTCCTCAAAGACAAGGCATTCCTCGGGCGTGATCGGTTCCTCACCCTTGGGGAGGGAATCGTTGATGGTCTGTAGAGCGATAAGGTAAATGTCGGGCAAGGGTTTGCCACGGCCCTCAGGGATACGCGGGTCGTCACCGAGGACGCGACGGTGGGTCTCAAAAACCGTGAAAAGCTCCTGGATATGGTTTGTTTTCATGCGGAAGTTAGCCTCGTGGGAAGAGGTTGCGAGCGCGATATGCACACGGTGAGGCTTTGCTGCGGGCTTCTGGTCCGCGCCGTTGGTGGTGGCATCCTCCTTCAGATCCCAGTAACGGGTGCTGCCAAGCTTCTGCAGAAACTCCTTGACACCTGGAAGGGCCGTGGTGTGTGGGAACTTCTGAGCCTGAAGAGCGTAATACTCCTCCTTGTACTGTTCGCGGCTGATGGGCAAGTCGGCCCAGTCGTGGAAAATGTCCAATGCGGCGGGACCAGGGCGGCCTTGGAGCTGCGCCTTGATGCTCCACGGCAAAGGAAACTTCTCCTTCTTGTGCTTGAGCAAAAGCTCGTTTACACAGAGGGTATAGATATCCTCGGTATCGAGGAGCAGGCCGTCCATGTCGAAGAGACAAGCCCGAACGGGAGGGAAACTACAAGCGAATATTAGTACCAATCCAACGTCAAGAGAGATGATGCAACTTACTCTGTGCGGGGAGCCATTGTTGCGCTTGGGATATCAAGTCTGGCTGACTAAGTGATACTGGTAAGAGTGCCGGGCGAAGGGCGGATTTGGTGTCGAGACTTGCTTTTGAAATTGAAGTCTTGATCCTGGTTGTGTTTGGAGAAAGTGGAAAGCGCAAAGGAAGTGGTGGGTTGGGAGGTATTTTATATATAGGACAGGAAACAATTTCGGGCTGGCGCCAAGGGTAGTCGAGTTCAGTGAACTGGTCGTCAACGGCGTGTGAATGAGATGCGGTGCCGATTCAGACAAAACCTTGCTGCCGAAGGTGAAGTTTGTCGGGTAAACAGAGAAAGGGTCGTCGTTGTGAATGGGCCTCGAACCAACGAAATGGACAACAGATCTGCATAAAGAGCAAGTAAAGCAGTAGCATGAACCTTGAGAAATGGCGGGCTTTGTTGCTGAAGGGTTAGTGAAGTGTAAATAGATATGGTAAAGGGACGTTGGACGGGATGAGGTCGCCGGTTTTATTGTTTGGAAATTGGTTGGCCATCACTCCCGTCCCGTCCCCCCGTTCGGCATCGTAAAAAAAGTTGGAGACAGCTCCAGGGGCAGGTCCCGCAATCAATCCCCTCCCCGCCCTACAGCAAGCGGGAGCCCGTGCGGGGGACCCCGGCGGCGCCCCTCTGCCCCTGATTTCAGGAACCTTGATAGGCGCTGACTGGGCGATGCAGTAAACAGGGCAGAAAAAAATGTGACATTTTCAACAATTCAAAGCATGATGAACAACCAGTGAATCCGCTCTGTAACTTTCAGATTGAAAAAGTATGCGCTGGTCCAAGAAGAATTGCAGCTGCCAGTTTTCCAGGAGACATCGAAAGGTTCCAGTTTTCATGATGCCACGCAAGTCGTAACAACTTGGAGCTGAGCGTGACAAACACAAGCCACTCGCATTTGCTTCCACCCGAACGGACTAACAACTGGTAGTGTAGTCTGAAGTCTGAAATATGAAGGAGTAGGAATCCTGAGACGGGATCTTTCGGACCTTTTCCTTCTTCCCCTGCCACCTCGGACAGGCCCCGCTGAAAAGTCGACAGACGTGTGATAAAGCAGAGATTACACAGATGACAACATGTGAAGATTTCGGGTTTAATACCACAGCCTTGGCTTTGAGCCGCATTGTAACCGTCGCACTACCGTGGACTTGGAATTTCTGGTAACGAATGTTTTTTCTCTCTTTTTCTTCCATTTCACCACATTTCGTCCCGACTGTGTATGGCTTTGGTACTGACGTCGTATTGGATGAGATTGCGACTGGTCATCCAGAGCAGTCAACTGAATGGCCAGCTGTTGTTCAGTGACTTCATCAGGTTGTCAGAGTAACCAGACACTCCAAACAACTGGATGAACGGTTGGTGCATTACCGGTAGAGGACCAGATCGAGGAGAAACTCATGAGAAAATACCATACTTACTCGAGGGGGTGAAATTAGGTCTCAAGATTTTCTCATCGTGTTGGTGAATGTGAAAGTTCTCCATGTCTTGTTCCCTCATCTCAGATTCCGATATCAACAGACGTGGAGGTCCACTTTTGCCAAGACCTGTGATGCCAAGCTGCCGCGCCCAAAGCTCCTGCGTGCAATGCCCGCTGTCCGCCCCGCCCTGGTCCCTGACAGCTTCCGCGGCTTCTTATCTCGCATGTTCCATCGTCTCTCTCATCTTCGCGAACCTCACTCACTCGGTCACTCCAAGCTCCTGACAGATACCACCATTCCGATACCGGCAATCTCATAGCGTTTCAGTAACAATTCTTCCTTGAAAAATGAGTTCCGAAACCCCTAATCACCAACCTGAGAAGAAGGACAAGGATGTTCAAGCAGATCAAGAAGATGAAGAGGCCAACCAGGCCGACATCAAGTTCTCACCTGGAGAAGAGGCTGCAAGTACCCATGAATTAGAAGCAACAACTACAAAGACCCCTTACATATGTCTTGATGCCAAAAAAAATATTCTGTGACTGACCGCCTCGGTTCTACATAGGAATTGGTAGCTGAGTCCAACACCCACAAAGCAGAGGCAAACGCCCTCTTTTCCTCGGGCAAATACGATGCCGCCATCAACAAATATGACGAAGCCATTGCTGTTTGCCCAACCTACCTGGACTACCCCCTAGCCGTCTTGCGCTCCAACGTGTCCGCCTGCCACCTCATGCTGGAAGAATGGAAGGATGCCGTCAAGCATGCGACAACAGCTCTGGACCTGCTTGACAAGCTCGAGCGGGAAGACAAGCTGGCTGCTGAGAAGGAAGAGAAGGGGAAGGATGAGGTTGAAGAGGAGATTGTCAGCGCCGGTGCGGCAAAGGCTGGGCCCGCCGCTCCTGTCGTTGAAACTGAGGCTCAAATTGCCCGCCAAAAGCGTCAAGAGGACATCGTCAGGATACGCGCCAAAGCTCTGCTGCGTCGGGCTCGGGCAAGGAGTGAACTAGGCGGATGGTCTACGCTTGAGGGAGCTATTGAGGATTACAAGAAGCTGTCGGCCATGACCAACCTAACAGCTACCGACCAGAAGCTTGTCCAGGCGCAACTCAGAGCACTGCCGCCCCGTGCCAAGGCGGCTCAGGAGAAGGAGACCGCGGAGATGTGGGGCAAGTTGAAGGAACTTGGAAACGGGCTGCTGAAACCGTTTGGTCTTAGCACTGATGCCTTCAAGATGGTGAAGGATGAGAAGACTGGCGGCTATAGCATGAACTTTGCGGGAGGTGGTGGTGAAGCCAAGAAGTGATGTGGTGGTGGTGTGAAGCCAAGCGCTTTTGGAGGTGCCCGGGCTCGATGTCGGTTTACGTACTCAGACTCCTCCTTGTGGACTGATCTGGCTGAAAATTCCAACTTCATGAGTCACACCGAACCATAATAACCGGGTTTTCAGTTGTCAACATTACTTGAGAGCTTCATAGTTGAGGTTCAAGATGTCAACAGGAACAGAGATGCCCAGGGGCAACAGGTGATGATTGGTGCTGGCACCTGGCCGGAGCTTAACCTCCAGGATTGAGGCTGATTAATTGGTGTGGCAAAGCCGGCTGTGGAACGCCACAGAAGTACGTACTCTTGGCACCTACCCTTGCTGATAGCCGATAGCCGATAACAGTTGCTTATCAATGCAGCGCGGGGCAATTTGGTGCTGGGCCATCAAGAAATTTATTGACGACTTGTCAGCGCCCCCAGCGTTCGCCCCCAGCGACTCATCTTCAGTCCCAGTCCATTCAATTTTCAAAGTTGACTTTTTCCCATCCGCCAGCAACGTCTCTTGTGATTGCGACGGAACTCCCAGGTTTTCCTTTTCACGACATAGCGGCTCTCGTTTTGCTTTTACAATTGATACCCCGATTCATATCTCGTCGCAAACTACATCTTCTTTAATCATGGATATCGACCAACCCATGGGCATGGCCCCATTGATGGGCTCTGCCAGGACAGGCGCCACGTGAGTTTCGACTCGAATCCAGAACGCTTTCACACAAAGATAATCGCTGACAGAAACAATAGTATTCTCTGCTGCAACTGCGGCGCTCCCATCGATGGCACATCCTCCGCCGGCGCTCTCTGCTACGACTGCATCAAGTCCACCGTCGACATCTCCCAGGGCATCCAGCGCGAGGCCACCCTCCACTTCTGCAAAGATTGCGACAGATGGCTCCTACCTCCCAACAGTTGGGTCACCGCCTCCCCCGAGTCAAGAGAGTTGCTATCACTATGCTTGAAGAGGTTGAGGAATTTGGGCAAGGTCCGCATCACAGACGCCAGGTTTATTTGGACAGAACCCCATTCGCGAAGAATCAAGGTTCAGGTCACGGTTCAGGATCAGGTCGCCGATGGTGTGTTGATGCAGCAGAGTTTCGAGGTCACTTACGTCGTCGCCAGCCAGCAGTGCAAGGACTGCGCCAAGTCGTACACAGCCAACGTCTGGCGCGCCGCCGTACAGGTCCGCCAAAAGGTCACCCACAAGAGAACCTTCCTTTTCCTCGAACAGCTCATTCTCAAGCACCAGGCGCATCGCGACACCATCAACATCAAGGAAGAGAGGGACGGTATCGATTTCTACTTTGCCCAGAAGAACCAGGCCGAAGGATTCATCAGCTTCCTCAAGTCGGTCGTACCAGTTCTCACCAAGGAGTCGAGGCATCTTATTTCCGCGGATACACATACCGGCAACAAGTCGTACAAGTACAATTACTCCGTCGAAATCGTGCCTGTTTGCAGAGATGATTTGGTCGCCCTTCCTCTCAAGCTCGCCAAGTCCATTGGCAACATTTCTCCCCTTGTTCTTTGCCACAGGATAGGAACATCCGTCAACCTCCTCGACCCCAACACCCTCCAGACTGCCGAAGTCAGCGCCGATATCTACTGGCGTGCCCCCTTCCACCCGCTCGCCGGCACCCCCGATCTCGTTGAGTTTATCGTCATGGATATCGAGCCCACAGGCGTACGAAAAGGCAAGTGGCTCCTCTCCGAGGTCCAGGTCGCTCGTGCTTCCGATCTCGGCGTCAACGACAACGTCTACTTCACCCGCACACATCTCGGTCAGCTCCTCCGCGCCGGTGACTCGGTTCTGGGTTACATGCTCGAGGGCACCAACTTCAACTCGGATGACCTCGAGGCCATCGAGGCCTCCAAGGCCTACGGCTCCATGATCCCCGACGTCATTCTCGTCAAGAAGCACTTCCCCAACCGTCGCCGCAACAGAAAGAGAAACTGGAAGCTCAAGCGCATGACCAAGGACGAGGGCGAGCTTCTGCCCAAGGACAAGGACCAGGCCAAGATGGACGCCGAGTACGAGATGTTCTTGCGCGACGTCGAGGAGGACGAGGAGCTGCGTGCTGCGCTTGCTCTGTACAAGAACTCGCTCAAGACCAAGAGGGAGGCGGATGCCATGAGCATCGCCGATACGGACATGATGACGGAGGCTGAGGAGGATGGTCCCAAGATCAGCATGGACGAGCTCCTTGATGACTTTGAGGAGATGGAGATCAAGGATAAGGAGTAGAACGTGTTTCAAGTGCGAATGTGAATGGGCTTTGGGTTTCGGGGTAAATCAAAATTCCGGGAGTTAGCTGTTTTGATGGTTTGCGTTTTACGGACATATCATGAATATATTCGGGAATGGGCTTGCCGTTTTGGCGCCCTCTGCATCCAACACCACGGTCCCCTTTGTTGTGTGCTCTTTGTGGTTTCTTAAAGATAAGGATGTGAAGATGTTGAAAACTTGCGACTGCTTATCCTATAGCACATTTGGATTATTTTCGTTTTCGCTCACTCTCTTACTTGCTGTAACAAAAGGGAAGAAGGAATATACGAGGCGAAAAACAGGAGAAGAAGTATGTGGACATAGTTGCGGATGCTTCATTCAACCCAAGCAAGTCTCGAGGAAACTAAAAAGGAGAAAAAAAAATTCACAGCAAAAAGAGAACCAGAAGGTTTGATCGTTATCACTCGGATACCGGGAGTCGAACCCGGGGCTGTTGAGAAAACAGACACTTGTTTTGTAAAGCAAGTGAGAGTCAACGATGTTACCGCTACACCATACCCGATGAAGGATGGCTTCCGATTTGTTTGATGACTTGTTGCACAAGTAGTTATGGTTATAAATGGGCAGTAGGGCTGACGGTGGGGGAGGAAAAGAAAATTTGTGGTTGTGTGTGGTGGAGCTACAAGGTCAAGGGCTCAGCGGCGTGGAAAGTGGAAAAGGGGGGTTTGTTTACTTCGTGACGGGACTTTTGGGGGTTGCTCATATGAGAATGCTATTTTTACTGACTGGTTTTAAACCTTTTTTGCATCCTTGCCTCTGATATTTTCTTCTGTTTCATGTTGTCACTGCCGTCGTTTCGAAGTCAGGAGGTTCCTTTCCGTCAGTCGGGCAGGCGCAAAGTCCGCGCAGAGAAAGGCCATAGCGCGCCACCATGGTTCTAGAGAATGATCCTGTGCGTGGTTTTGTCACTGTAGTCACCTTCAAGACGGTTTTTGTATGAAGTTCATCTACAGATCACTTTCAGTTTGAAACACCATGATCAAGGGATAACTTTCCTCACAGAAGTGTCTCCAGTTCGTCTCCCAAATCGAGATGTTTTACCTCGGGAAAAGAGTCTGCTGGCAAAATCATCTCCAAAAGGATCCCCTGACTGAAATGTTTTTGTTGAAAATGAACTTATCCAAAGGATTATCACTAACATCGTTCTGTTAAGGATGAATATCCCTCATGACTAATATTTCGGGGAGGATCGGTCTCTAGGTAACTTTCAATACTAAATCATTTCCTTCGTTAGGTAATTTTACAGTTAAAAAACTATACCGAGGATGATTTTCTAGAGCCCGGGTGGCGCGCTATGGAGGTTCTGGGGAGTACTCCGTCATTTCCCTTTCTTCTACTCTTTTTTTTTTTTTTTTTTTTAACTTTTCACCTGGGGGAAGGAATGGCTTTTGGCAAGTGCCACGGAGACCTGGCTCTTTGGTTCAAATATTTGATAGTCATGTCGCATGAAGTTGGCAGGAGCAAGTGGCTCATGCTGGGTTCGATTTCTTGTAATTTTCTGTGCGTACATAATTCCAGCTCTGCTCTCTCCCTTGATTTTCGATCAAAAAGAACAATTGCCAACAAAATTTATGCCTCAACACCACACGGGCAGAACATGCGACTCCAAGGTTGACCACGCTCTGCGTCCCCCCACAACTCCAACCGGAACACTGACTACCTTACGATCATGAGCTCCGGAACTAGTAGAGACCAGGCATTGTCGGCATAGTCAGCCACGAAACGAACCACATCAGCCACAAAACCGCGGCTCTCCTGTTCCAGGCAGGGCTCCGTGTCCAGATCAACAGAATTGCCAGCACAAGTTCAAGGCCATACAATGCCAGAAGTGTGACATAATTTGGAAAATAAAGGTCCAAGGAGTGTAAGATTGACTCCGCATTCAAAGGCCAATAAAGGATCCAAAGAGCTGAGAACCACCGCGGGCCTCGCTCGCCGTACACGGAGAAGACGGTTCTTGTGATAATCGAGTCTGCTGATTGTTGCTGGACAGAAGCGTCAATTCCTTCGGTTGCGGGGCCTTGGTGCTGTCCCGGAGATTCGCTTCGTGTCTCGCTCGGTGGCCTGAATTCGAAGGCGGGAGGCAGAACGGCAGCAGAGCCGCCTGTTTCGAGATCACCACTCCTGCCATCATTCGCGCCTTCATGGTCCCACAACTCCCAAACCAGCCCAGTAGTCGCATGCATGGCAATGCATGACCACAGCCAATCCCACCCCAAGCTCCGTTGACGCAACAAGATCAGGCACGCCTGCCAGTTCAGTATCGATAGCTCAACCACTCGCCACATATGTCCCTCAAGCGGTTCAACATGAGGGTTTCTGGGTGTCATGGGCCCTCCTTTGGAATGACTGAAGCTCCCATATGTGTACCCTAGCCATGCTAGGGCGGGAACCAACAGGAACTTATTGTAACTTATCAAAAAAACGAGCTCCAATACAACCAAGACGCGCAGGCAGGCCAGTGCTTCAGCTGATGACAAACCATCAAATCGGAAAGCGTATGGGCGGGATGGGTCGCAAACATGACAGAGCTGTGCCTCATTCTCCTCTGCGCCGTCCTCATCGCGCTCCTGTTGCGACAACCGGCAGTACTCATGGAACCAGTAAGAACTGCCCTTTGGAAGAAAACGAAAAGCTCCGCGAGAAGGCACATGCGAATTCAAGGATCTGCCATTTCAGAGGGCCACACCAACCGTGCCAGCAGATCAGAGAACGGTAGAGAGATAAGGTGAAGGACCAGTGTAGGAGGAGAGCGGGGAAGCGAGAGCAAGTCGACCATTTGGGCTTCAGGCCGAGGAAGAAGAATATCTTGAGGTTGTGGAGGAGAATGCTTGGACCAGCCGCTGGCACCTGTGGTTGCGGTTGTTGAGGTGCGGATCTTACTTCACCCTGGTCACTCGAGGCAAGGAGCGGCTGGAAACACGGACGTGATGAGTGAGCGGTACATCTTGTGGGCAAAACTCAAAAGAGTCTTGCAAGACGGATGGGCTGGGGGATATCAGTGTTCAACTTACGGTCGTCTCCGTTATGGCGGTAGAAGGGCCATCAATAAGGTTCCCGCCGCGTGAAGATGATCCTTCCGAGGTTGGTCCTGGTTTAACTGGGACGCTTGAGGAGCCCTCTGGTTGGGTTATCTCGGTCATTTTCTGGGCATGTGTTGTGGGCTATATTCCAAGCCAGAAAAGGAGACACGGTGAGAGCTGGCTGTTCGGCTGTGATATACTTTTGAAAATCCTCACTAACTTATTTTATAGTTGACGGGAGCGATGCCTACGTGTATCGCGAACTTCACAGAACCCCGTGAAGTGGAGAAAACACCACGAACACACGTGGTGAACCTCAAGATTTTGCTCACTATCCTCGCGGACGTCAGCACTACTGGCGCACTACAGGGGACATTTATTGGTGCCTGGGATAAGAAAGGAACCTAATCAGGCAGGCGTCTTTGCTTGGCTCCTTACCATAGTGTCACCTACAACAACAGCCACAACACTCTTTGACTTCCCATGAATCTATCTTCAAGAGAAACCCAAAGGCTTCAAAGCTTTTACCACTTGGTTTCCGCGGTTGTTTCCCATCCGGAAGCCTACATCCTCAGAGGCTGCCCAAATATCCTCAATCGTTCCTGATGACCTGCAATTGGGCGAAGCCCTACACACCCTACTGTTTGAAGCTTCGGAAATGCCATCATGAGCATTTTCCAACTCGTGGATTCCAGACAGACCTCCAAGTCAAGCTACACGAGAGCAGGACAGAGAACAAGCATGTTTCGATGTTTATTCATCTACAATGGCTTTTACCTGCATTACCCCAGGCTGCCAGGGAGTGACAGGGCTGGACAGACAATAACAAACAGTTCTGCTTTCAATCAACATGAACATCCATGATGGACTTTTCTCGGGCGAACGAAGCAGCGGCCAAAAATGACGAAACCTTTTCAACCACTGATTTTTTGCGGAAATGAACAATTGATATGAAAAGCCAGGAACAGGTAACATGCCCGGTTTACGGCCTTCTAGCGCATTGTTCTATTCTCGCCTTCGCTCCCGTCCCCCTGGACTTTGTGGTCCATATTCTTTGTCTTCCAAATATCCATAACATTGGACAGAGGTACGCCTTTCTTTGTTGCACAATGTACAGACGACACTGTAACGAAATGACGCCTCACGGTGGCCGGGCCGCGTCTTTCATCGTCTTTATATGTCCACGATTAGTAGCGCCTTCGCCCTCGTGATTGTTCCTAGAAGGCCGGACGGACGGGATGTAAATAGTTTTTCCAATGTTCGGCCGGTGACTGACCAGGGGAGTGGGCAAACATATACTCTCTAGGGAAGCACCTGAACACAAACTAGTTGCTGAAGTCCTTGTCATTCCTTCTTTTCCAAGAATTTGCCGTCAGCCAGTCAACAAATGTGGTTTGGACAAACTTTGCCAGACCTCTACTGAACAATTCTCCCTCCCTTCAAACACGAACGACGCAGTAGGAGAACAAGGCACTGGGAGTCTATAGGTTGACGACTGCATCAATGATGAAGATAAGCATCAAACAACATGGCATTGAGGCACCAACAGCAACGACAGCGACGACATACTTATCGAAGGACAGAGCCGGCAGTCGAGGACGAAGCATGTCTCCGTCGGAACTTCTGAGGAGAAGACATAGTCCTCATCAACAAATCACAGATCGAGACGAAGATCACCAAGAAGACTCGGGTAGCGATAACGACCGCGATGAAGGCGATGATGGGGATGACGTTGAAGATCAATCCGCGAATGACCACGGGAACGACAACGAGGAGGAAGGCAAATCAAAGGGGAAAAACGGTCCTCCTTTCTTTGGTCCGTCGTTATCGGGTGTATGGTACCATCCGAATCCACAAGATATACCAAACGTTGAATCAACATATGAACAATCACAGCCCGCAGGTAAAATATCTTCTTTTACTGGAAGTATCAGCACCACAGAACTACCCTTTGGAAATGCACCGGAGTCGCCAAGTTGGGTTTCTTCCCAAGAGCATACAGCCACAGCGGATCCTTTACAAAGGGTGACTGTGAGCCCGATGGCGGATGACGGTAAGGAAGCCCGATCGGTCTACGATTCGTTTCTTCCACTGTTCGGTTTACGAAACCTTACTTCGCTTGTAGGTAAGAGATCTATTTCTTTTATTACTGGATTAACCAGTCTCGAAGATCAATCCGATGAGGCTATGCCGGACTCCACCTCTGATGTCCCCTACCATGATTCTACGGCAAACACCATGATGTACGTGTATCCCTTCCCTAATGCGTTTCTCTCCCCTCACAGCCAACAGCCAGACTGACCATGAAGATGGAAATGTATGGCGAGTAGAACCAGAGTTACTGTGAAAAACAATCGCGTTTCAACTGCTGAGACCAAAAAAGGTGCAGCAACTGCTGTCTCTGAAAACATAACGTTTACCCAGAGTCCAGGGCAAACGACTAGTTCTGGGAAAGGAGCAAATCCCGCTGGTATCATTGAAAACACCGGCTCCCCTGTCAACTCTATCGGGCCAGTGACAGGATCAGGCAAAAGCATTGGACATCCAGGCTTATCTTCCCCATCTGCCCTGCCATTAACGGTCTCCGGCGGAAGCAGTGGAAACACAGACTCAACCCCCAACTCTGCCCCGTTAGTAACAGCAAACCCGGCTGACTTGACATTGGGCAAACCCACAGACTCTAGTGTTACCGTATCGCCAACTCCGGAAACAACCTCTACAGAAATTTCAACCTCGTTCAGTTCGACACCACCCATGACGACAAGCACGGACTCTGAAACTGATACGGTCCCGACTACCCCGCCGTTTAAGACAACGAATGCGGCGGGCTCTAATAAGAGTCCTACACAGGAATCGGCTGCCGAAGCAACAACGGAAATCAACTCGAGTGGATCAAAAGGAGGTCCGGCTCCGCAGCATAGTGATGGTAATGGCTATACGAAGGACCCCCATATACCAGCAACAACAGCAACAAGAACCATGGGTGAGGTAACAATCACGACCGTGGATGGGACAGTGGGATCAGGTGTGTTTTAATATTGTCAAACCCAGATGCTTTTCCCATTAGACTGTTGTAGGTTGTTGCTTGCTGACAATAGTACAGAACTCGAAACATTAGCCACCGAGCCTGGACTTGCTATTACTACCACTTCTCTCCCAAGCATCTCACCTACCTCAAGCACCAGTCAAGTGGATGGTGCAATCTCCTTCGAAGGGGAAAAAAAGACTTCGTCAGGAGGCGATGGACCAAACAAGGGAGCCATCATTGGCGGGCTTATAGGTAAGTGTCTTCACACTCCCACTTCTCACTCTTGGAACAAACTTACTGACCTCGGTTCTTCACCGACTCATCAGCTGGTCTCGTGGTCGTAGGCGCCATCCTCTTCTTCCTCTGGCGCAGGCGCAAAACCAGCAGGAAGCGTCACAGTGCTTCCTCTACCAGTCACCTTCTCACCTCAAAGAATGCCGGCAAGAAGCTTTCAGACAAGGACTGTTACCCGTTCGACGACAGCAGTAGCAGCTCTGGTAACACCGTCGGACGAACATCGCCATGGCCCATCAAAGGCGCCGCCACAGCCACAGCCACGACGTGCAATTCAGTGCGACAACAACCTGTCAGCGGTGCCGGCACCGGCGCCACATGTTCCCGTCCTGGTCACAACCCCGTCAGTCCTATCAGCCCCGGAGGTGGTGATGCTGCCAGTCTCGATGGTCTCTCGTCGCTCTCACGCGGATCAAGCTTCTCGTACGCCTCGGACGATTACTCCTGCCGAGGAAGTGCTGCCAGCAACACGGGCAGCATGTACCAAGCCACTGCACTGGCGTACCCTGCACCGGGGCAGGTGACGCCCGTCATGATGCCTGGGGCTGGATACCCGGCTACGGCGAGAATTGTGAATCTCTCGCCGAAGCCTCAGAAACCGGAGATGGTGATGGTGAGGAATAGCAATCGGAATAGCAGCACCGCGGAGCTCGTGAGTCCGAGTCGGAACCCTAGCAGGAGTACCACCGGTGAAAAATCTGCTGGGAAGCGAGCATCATTACTATGGGATAAAGAAGCTTGCGGGTGTGATGGTAATAATAAAACGAAGAAGAAAAAGGGAGCGGGAGCGGGGCAGTGGGACAACGAAGCGTGTGGATGTCGTGATAGTAGGGTGTCGACCTTGACGTCAACAGCGGGACAATGGGATAAAGAATCCTGTGGATGTGATGGTAGCAAAGGGGCGACAGTGACGGAGGTGGTGTCACCTCCTCCGATGGCGGCAAAGGCTTTGTATGAAGCGCTTGGCGGGTCAGGACCAGGACCAGGACCAGGACCGGTATCTCGTCCTTCGTCGTCGAGGCCGGTTACATGGATGAAACAGCCGTCGCCGCTGTCCACGGCAAGGAATTCGGCGGCATCATCAACAGCGTTTGTACCTTCGCCGATTGGAGGGACACCGATGCCCGGGGGGGTAAGAAGAGGAGTTATATGGGCTGATGAAAATTGTTTGTTGGATCGGGATATTGGGGAGAGAAGTGAGAAAGGTGAAGAGGCGTGGCGTGAGGAGTGGGAGGTTAGCATAGAGTATCATACGTACAAGAAAAAGCATTTATCTTCACTAACATCAGGTTATCACACATTCAATTTTTGTACTGCTTTACCCCAACTGATCGTCCCTGCAGGTAGGTAACCCCTGACATAAATGTCAACCCCGCAGGGAGTCGCATTTGTTGTCGCCCGCCGCCGTGCCGTCCTGAATGTCCGTCCCGTCCCCAAAACTTCGGCGCAGATATCATCACAGCGAGGGGGAAAAAGAGGATCCAATTCCATTCGTTTCGGTAATACTATAAATAAATAAAAAGAAAGTCGCTCGCTGGCGAGAGGTTTTTGCGTCCGTTTCCCCTCTTCTTTCAGTTATTTTCTGTTTTATTGCAACTTGCAAGAGTCATTCAGCAACACGCAATGCGGATGCAATCCACCAACGCCCTGTTTCGGCGCGCAACTTTGTCTTCCTCCAGGTTCTCATCCTCGTCCTCCACACTCTCCATCGTCCGACAATCCACCTTGACGACTGTGACCGGCACACGCGGCTTCGCAACTTCGTCCTTGACAGCCCAAACGAGCGCAACCACGAACGCAACCTCACCTTTGTCACTTGACACTTCTGCCGTGACACGAGCCCAGTTCCAAACTACTACCGCCCAAACTTCAACCCGCACCATGGCCTCCGCATGCAGCACCAGCTCCCCCTCTTCGGGGAGCCACTTCGAAAAGATCCCAAACACCTCCATCCGCGTCCTCCGCACCGTCTCCTCCGTCCGGCGCTTCCGGCAGCCCTTAACCCTCGACTCCCGCTCTGTCGCCCTCGTGCCGACAATGGGCGCCCTGCACGCCGGGCACTTACGGCTGATCCGCGCTGCCGCGCGCGACAACCACCACGTTGTGGTATCGATCTACGTCAACCCGGCGCAATTCGGCGTTCGCGAAGACTTGTCAAGCTACCCAGTAACGTGGGAAGCCGACTGCGCTGCTTTGGCGAAACTTGATCGCGAGCTAGCGGACGATGGCAACAATTTGGGGAGGATCAGCGCTGTGTTTGCGCCTAGTACCCAAGAAATGTATCCTGCTGGATTTCCGGGGCAGGAAGTTGATAGTAGGGGATCCTTTGTTACCATAACGCCTGTCGGTGAGGTTCTAGAGGGGGCAAGCAGGCCTACTTTCTTCAGAGGCGTGGCGACCGTTTGCATGAAGCTTTTCAATGTGGTGCAGCCCACGAGGGTGTATTTCGGGCAAAAGGACGTGCAGCAGACTGTGGTGATCAAGAGGCTGGTGGAAGATTTTCTGATGCCGATTGAGGAGGTGGTGGTTGTGCCGACTGAGCGAGACTCAAAGGGGGATGGGCTGGCGCTGAGTTCGAGGAATGTGTATCTGGGGGAAAGGAGGCGGAAGGTGGCGGGTGTGCTGTATAGGGCGCTCAAGGCGGCGGAGGAAGCGTATGGTGCTGGGGAGGGGGAGAAGGGACGGGAGGGGATTTTGGGCGCTGCCCAAAGAGTGATGGAGGAGACGCTGGAGGAGCAGATGGCGCTGGAGCCGAGCAGGAGGGTCAAGTTTGAAGTGGATTATTTGAGCTTGGCGGATCCGGAGACGATGCAGGAGTTGGAGGTTGTTGATACAACCAAGGGAGGCATCTTGAGCGGTGCGGTGAGGTTCTTGCCGGTGGAGGAGCCGAGGGAGGAAGAGGATTTGGGACATAGTGGGGGCCCGTTGGTGAGGTTGATTGATAACATCATCTTGCCGGGAAAGTAAGTGTGTGGAAAGGGGGTTGAGTGGGAGGGATGTTTTGGGGTTATACTATTGAAGTTGAGGTTGTTAGAGAGCATTTGCATAGGTTGGCGTGTGTTATAGAGTTTATATTGGAGCGCATTAGAATCACTTGCGATCGCAGTTTTGTACAGACTTGTATTTGAATATTGTCTGTATTGAATTGGATAGTTCTCAAACACCTTCCGTTCTATATCGCGACAGCGGCATGAGGCTCTCGTCTTTCTTTCGTAAGGGTCTCCCTTCCTCCTCTAACTGCTCGAGCTGAAGAGTGAAAACAGCCCGTGTTAGACGTCGGGTGTTCCCGCTTACTCCTCCAAACAAAGAAATAAAGTCCAAGGAGAGATGCCTATCATCCCACCAGCTGGGCCTTCAAACGTCATGGAGACCGAACAACTACCGAACAGTGGCTTTGGTCCCAATAGCGCGTCCACCTGCACCCTCTTATCTTGAAGGGTCAAGAGCCCCTGGCGTTCCGAGCCATAACAGTTCCGGCTTTTGAACACCTAGGCTAGAGGTCTCTATTCACACTCTGTGCGCGTCTCGAATCGGCTCTTGTGTCCTGAAACACCCTGTCGAGCTGGCTATGATGTAAAGAGACAAGCCTATGCCCATAGCAAAGCATAGCCCACCAAAGGCTGCTTGGCTCCTACGCCAGCAATCATGTCCGTGACAGTTCGTCTCGGCGTCAACAATATGGGTGCATTCGCTCAACGGCTGTATCGGGCTATGCTGAGAATCGTACTCGCCCCAGTACCACGGCATTCCCATAAAGCCTAGTCCAGGCAAACCGAAGCCGCGGAAGGTTTTGGGTTGTAGTATCGTATCGTGTGTCGTATCTTTGTTATCTCGTCCACCTCACAGAATCTTGGAGAAATGCGACCTGAACTTCTTGTTGGCACGATCCGCCGACCGGAACTGGAACTGTTCGCCGTGTACTTCGAAGATCATTTTCGGTTGTTCCACCTCTGTTTGTTGTTGTTGTTGTTGTTGTTGTCCCTCCTCTGCCGTGCCCGTCGCTGTCGTCGCTGTCGTCGCTGTCGTCACCGTAGCTGCCAACGGCACCTCAATCCTAAACACCGTCCCCTCCTTCGGCACCAACTTCCTCTGATTTTTCTTGGTCACCACCTCAAACGTAAACCTCGAATCCTTAATCACGATCCCCTTCAACCCGACCCTACTCACACACCCGCTCCTGACAACCTCCACCTCAGCCCCATGAAAATCCGCGCTCGTCAGCTTCGACGCCGCGCCCTCGCCCCCGGTATGTATCTCGTTTCCCAGAATCTCGCGGATGTACCCTAGCCAGAGCTGATGCAGCGGCTCGAAAAGGGCGTGTTTTTGTCCGGAGCGCGGGACGTCGTAGAGCCCGAGCCTGCGGCGCTCGGTTGGCGGATAGGGCTTCGGTTTTAGCGCCTTTTTGCGCGAGAGACGCTTCTTTTCGCGTTCGCGGCGGCGGGCGGCGCGGGCGTCGGAGGGTGGAGGCGATGATGGGCAGAGGAAGAGAGGGCGTTGTTGGATCTTTTCGGTTAGGATGCGTTTAGATTCTTCGGGGTCGAAGGCGCGCGAGAGGAGGACGGCGGCGATGGGTTGGGATTTGGACGAGGTTTGGGATGTTGAGTCCATTGTGGGTGAGGTGTGAGGGGGAGTTCCTCTGGTCGTGGGGTATTGAGTGCACGATAATTGGGATTTGTGTCGAGGTGTCGTATCGGTTGTCGCAAGGGTGAAATGATGCCGATGTGAACGCAAGCTGGCGCTAAGATAAAAAGCTTCAAGAAATTGGAACCACTGCGCCTTTCCCCGTCTGGCTTAGCTCCTGCCTCGGCTCGTGTTACCCCGCTGTTACCCCATGAAGACAGGGCACCTTAACGGCGCTTTGATCCCTGCTGGTGACGCTTTCCAGTGGCGGAAGGCAAGATTACAGTGGGCGCTCTAACAATTGGATGGGCACTTTAGCATTCCCGATGTTACCGTTCCTTCATTGGCATGCAATGGTCTTGGTGCTTGGGTCTGGATGCATACATACCAAACTTGTATTTGAACCGAGGAAATCATTTTCTGGCTTGACTCTTCTTTCCTTCTGCTTGTGATGATGGTTGCAGTGGCGAGTTGAAGACCTTTTCCGTGGTTCCAACAACACTGATACCGGGGATCATTGCTGGATGTCATAGTCGGAGTTACTGCCCATTAGGCTTTACACCACTTCATCTCTTCCATCCCGTCTCCAAGTCTCAACACCCGAGTCCTGCTGACGACAACTACTTGCATCGAAACGTACATATCACCTCACGCGCGGCCAGAAACACACGACAGGATCACAGAACTGGGCAAATTGGTGGGAGGAGTAGCATTGGGAACTTGAATAAGACAAGCCCAACTGGAAAGACGATTGGGGCTCACAGCTATACAAGAAAGGACCAGAGTACGCGAGAGGAGTTAATAGAGAGACACAATGGCCGACGACCAGGATGGACGCGACGACAAGCCGGCGCAAGTCGAGGACTCAGCGCCCGATCTGCGCATTCTAGGTGACCGCATCACTCTTCAACCCAGCGGATTTGTGGCACCTCCCAAGGGTGCCGTAGGTGATGAGAAGGAGGAGGCTCTGATGAAGAACATGGCGCGCTTTCGCTCGGAGCCACTGCAGTATGTTTAGCATTCATTCCTCAGGGTGTGCTTGTTGAATGACAAGTTGGCGTACTCGAACATCTTACTAACAGTCATCCAGATTCCTCCGCGAAGTCTCTCTCTACGTCTCTGGTACAGGATGGCGCGCCTACGACGAAATCATCGGCCAACCCGTCTTCTACCCAGGCTACACCGAGCACATCAAGTCGCAAGTCATGTCGGCCACGCTATTGCAGGCCAAGATCGCACAGTTGGCTGAGATGCGCCTGTCAGTCGAGGAGAAGCAGGGGCTACTCAACAAGAACGACAGGAACTTCGAAACCAAGCGCAACCAGCGCCGCTCTGTGCTTGTCCAGAGTCTGCAGGAGGTCGCCGAACAGCTTACAGACAACATGGTATGCAAGATGGAGAGCAAGACCTTCATCCGAGGTGCTTACTACATGGTCACCCAGCTGCTGTTGAGGGCCTACCACCAAGGCATCCACGTCTCCAGCGAGGAGGTACTGAGGTTGCGGAATGTGGCCCGAGAAGCAGAGAAGAAGGGGCAGAGCATCATCTTCTTGCCGTGCCATCGGTCCCATGTCGACTACGTTGCGTCACAGTTGCTTTGCTATAGACTGGGCTTGACTATGCCAGTCATTGTCGCTGGTGATAATTTGAACTTTCCGCTAGTAGGAAACTTCTTGCAGCATGCCGGTAAGTAGTTTGCTCTTGCTTCAAGATCTTATCCAGCATCTCTAACTATTGCTAGGCGCCATGTTCATTCGCCGCTCCTTTGGCGACGACCAACTCTACGGGACTTTAGTGCAGGCCTACATTGACGTACTCCTCCAGGGCGGCTACAACTTCGAATGCTTCATCGAAGGCGGCCGATCTCGTACGGGTAAGCTGCTACCGCCCAAGTTCGGCATTCTCAGCTTTGTCCTCGACAGTATCCTTTCCGGCCGTGTCCAAGACGCCGTTATCTGCCCCGTCTCATATCAATACGACAAGGTGGTGGAAACAGAGGGTTACGTAACCGAGCTTCTCGGCGTACCCAAGAAGAAGGAAAACCTAGCAGACTTCCTCAGCGGCGGGTCAAGCGTGCTGTCACTGCGCCTCGGCAGAGTTGATGTCCGCTTCCACGAGCCGTGGAGCTTGAGGGGCTTTGTTGACGAACAGATTACGAGGCTGTCCAAGGTACCGTCTAGCATCAACTGGAAGGATATGAAGAATTCCATTGTGCGCCAGAAACTTCTTCGCACGCTGGGGTACAAGGTCTTGGCGGATATCAACGACGTCTCGGTGGTGATGCCGACCGCCTTGATCGGTACTGTTCTGCTTACCCTCCGCGGCCGCGGTGTTGGCCGTGCTGAGCTGATTCGCCGTGTCGAGTGGTTGACGGCACGTGTCCGAGCCAAGGGTGGGCGTGTCGCCCATTTCGGAAACACGCCGGTCGCAGACGTGATTGAGCGTGGTCTGGAGGTCCTCGGAAAGGATCTAGTTGGTGTTGTCGAGGGCCTGGCGGAGCCCACTTACTATGCCGTTGACCGGTTCCAACTTTCCTTCTACCGAAACATGACCATCCACCTCTTTATATCCGAAGCACTGGTCGCAGCGGCTCTGTACACGCGCGTCAAGCGTGGTGGCGGACCAGCTATCCAGGATATTCCATACCAAGACTTGCATGACCAAGTTTTATTCCTGTCTTCGCTGTTCCGCGGAGAATTCATCTACTCCGGCGAGGGTCTGGCGGTCAACTTGGAGAGGACGCTCATGGGACTAGAAGCCGATAATGTCGTCTTCCTAGAGAGGGATGAGCTCACTGGCGCTATCACCAAGGTCGGACTGTCGGATGCGGAGCGTGCGGCGGGCAGAGAAAATTACGATTTCTACTGCTTCCTGATCTGGCCATTTATTGAGGCGAGCTGGCTTGCTTCGGTGTCCATTATGGGGTTGACGCCTCCATTGGGGCAGAAGGATGATATTTGGATTCAGTTTTCCAAGGCACAGGAAAGCGCACAACTTGTGAGTTACTGCCAACCCCCTGCATACCCAGTCCTGCATTATGTGCTGAAACAGCGACTAACAAATGATTTCTCAGCTCGGAAAAACCCTCTACCACCAAGGCGACCTCTCCTACTTTGAAGCCGTCAACAAGGAAACGCTCAAGAACTCGTACCAACGCTTTGAAGAAGAAGGCATCATCCAAGTCGTTAAGTCCAAAGACCCCAAGGTTCCTCCGCGTATGCGTCTGGCGCCCGAATGGCGACCCGCCAGAGACGACATCTCAGGCGTGCTCATCGCTTCGGGCCGTCTGTGGGATTTTACTGAGAAGATCGCGTCAAGCAGGCGAGAAGGCAAGAACAGACGTGATGGTGCCACTGTGAGTACCCGCGTGGTCAGGTTGACGGATGATTTGGGACAGAGGCTGTTTGAGGAGGCGATTGCGGGGACGGATAGCAAGAAAGGGAAAGGAAAGAGTAAAGGCAAGGGTAAGGGTGGTGCGCCGGCGAGGTTGAGCAAAGAGGATGAAAAGACCTTGACGGCGGATTTGAAGGAGAGTAAGAGGAGGAGGAAACTGGAGAATAGGGCGCATTTGTGAGGGGGGTTAGGCGGAGTTTTTTGGAAAGAGTAATACCTACATAACATAAAAAAGGGAGAGAATACCTATGCAATCATGCTGTCCCGGTTGTGCTTTGCCATTCTTCTTTTTTTCTCATCGTCAGCGTGTCGTCCCTTTGAACTAGAGGTATGACTCCGGCAGTTGGGCCTTTCATTAGTGGCTCCATCAAGGACCTAAAGTCAAGCCCACATTCAGCAGTAATTTGTTGGTGGGAGCACTGGCTCATTGCCATCAGGTAGAAACCGTGGTCTTGGCACAAGATTTTAGGGCATTCAAGGGTATCAGTTAGTGGCTTTAGCAATTTGTTACGCCCGTCGTGCCCGACCACCGACTTTGGCCTTCCCATCATCTGCAGATTCCGTTCGCATCTTCTCGCGTTTGCATCACCAACTCTGAAACCTCAAACCCTCCAAAACCCCGGCGTTTCGCCAACTTGCAGCATCAAGGTATCACGACCTTTGCAGACTTTGTTGAAATGGCGGTCGAGGGCCGGCCTCCTTCACCCAAGTCAATCCTTCGGGGTCACAAGGCGCAGGTACATGCCGCCACCTTCATCCGCAACAATGAGCGCCTCGTCACTGGTGATGCCGATGGATTCGTCGTCGCCTGGGACCTGACCATTATGAGGCCTCGCGCGGTATGGCAGGCTCATGAGAATGCTATCCTTGGAATTGCCGGATGGGGAAACGACCGGATCATCACTCATGGTAGGGACAACAAGCTCATCGTCTGGAAGCTCACCGGCGATGATGAGAGTCGGATGAGTACCACGCTTCCACTCGACCCATGTACAGAGCCGCGACCAAAGCCATGGATATTGCATCTTCTGGAGGTCAACACCATGAACTTCTGCTCTTTCTCATATTGTCCTGTTCCGGATCCTGTGCTACCAGGTCAGCAAGAAGGCCAAAGTCAAGACACAGCAGCAGAAGAGTCAAAGTCGGGATCAGAGCTACTCATCGCAGTTCCCAACACGCTGGCGTCCGAAGCGGTAATTACGTCCGATGAAGAAACCCTCTTTTCTACTCCGAATAGTCACTAACTCCCGCAGATTGACATCTTTCATCTCCCTTCCCAGACGCGCCGCCATACTGTTAAGCTGGGCGATAAGAACGGCATGGTTATGGCCGTGGCACTGTTCAACCAGGCTGACTCTCTAACCCTCGTGGCTGGGTATGAAAATGGCCTTGCCATAGTGGCCCATCGTGATGCCGTCAAGAATGACTGGATACCACTGTACCAAGCAACCTGTCACTCTCAACCCATTCTGTCCTTGTGTATTTCTCCTGCCCGGGATTTCTTCCTCACGTCAAGCGCAGATGCGGTCATCGCTAAGCACCGCTTGCCTCCTGTGGTCTCAGACGATACAACATCGACACACGTCACAGCGACTCAGGCCGCTCAAGTGTCTGAGAGTGAAGAGAGCAACGGACCTGTCAACACACGGGACAAAACCGTTGGAAAGTCTCTGCTTGGTGCGGCCTTGGCCAAGGCAAAGCAGAATCCTTCATCGCAACAGAAACCACCACATACGCCCCAAGAAGTACAAACCCAACCCCTGAAGACTGTCAACACAAAACATGCAGGACAGCAAAGCATCGAAATCCGCTCTGATGGCTTGGTTTTCGCCACGGCTGGCTGGGACAGCAAGGTCCGCGTCTATTCCACAAAGACGCTCAAAGAGGTTGCTGTCCTGAAATGGCACCAAGTTGGATGCTACGCTGTCGCTTTTGCCGATATTGCTCCAAAGCCTAGTGCTCCTTCGATTAACGATCAGAATCCTAAAGCAACCGCATCGACCACTGGGTCCGAACCGACTGGGTCCGATTCCCTGGGTCATGGGACCCAGAAATCAAACGTGGACAAGAGCCTCACCGTCGTACCGAAGCTTGTCGAACTGACAGTCAGGGATAAGCGTCTCAGACAGGCAAAGACGGCACATTGGCTGGCTGCCGGAAGCAAGGACGGAAAGGTCAGTCTCTGGGATGTCTTCTAGACGTTCGATGCGGCCGCGGCAACGTGGAATTAAGTATCTTGGGGGAGCACTTGAGAGCAGAAACAGATTGCGGCTTCACTCATGCCATCCCAGTCTTCAAGCAACAGACGGGAAGCAGCATCAATCGAGGTCAACATAAATGACCCCATTTTCACTCTGTGTAATAGACGTTTGGGCATCCGTGATGTCAGGGCAGAGGAGGTTTCACTTGACGACAACACTGCCATGCTCCGTATTTGGTTCCAGAATTCCTCAGGCTTGGCAAGTTAGCCCGTGACGCGGTACGGTTTGGCAGCAGATCATGCTCTTGGCGCCATCCCCAATTCCATGCTCGGCAACTCAAGCCGATGCACTTCTCTGACACAGGGTTACCCAACCCGGTCCGGGTAGCTGGCGTTCCAGATCCCGATCCGCCCCCTAACTCGCTTCTCATGGCCGGCTCCCCAAACAGGAAACTATCGTGCAATTGGAGAGTGGTGATAGGCCAGCCGGACAGGTCTCCATCGACCCCTACGACGCCATCTGTCGGCAAGTCACGTTCTATCGATGCGAAATCTTGACGACGACAAGCTGAAATCGGAAGAAAAAAGCCATACCACGATCCGACAGATCTGGCTGGCCAACTAGCTCTCGTCATGGCGTTCCTTCGGCCCAAGCAGGGCAGTCATGAAGCCTCTATTGCCCCAGCCATCCTTGCAAAGGCTCCTGTTGTACTCCTGCCTGTAACCAGCCCAGCACATACACATAACACCACTTTCCAAGACATGCATGCTCTCACCTTGGCTTGCATTGGAGCAAATGGGCCATTTGGTTCCCCCTTGTGCCATCTGGATAGTCGTCAAGAGTTACAGAGTCAACCTAGTTGTGCCCCCCAGCCAGTATCACTGCTTCCCACATAGGCGCCCTTCCATCAAGGCCCTTGCTCACCTTGGAATATCCATGTCCCTTCAGAGCGTAGTCTGTCTTGTGTGTCTCGACAATTCTTACCTCTTCTACTAGGCCTTCCCCTGAGAGAATTCCGAACGCCTCGACCGGAGTTGCTGTATCGACCCAAAACGCAGCATCACTTCCGAGGCATCCACTTTACTTTACTTACTCCTTCTCCCCAGATTACATGTATTGGCGAGCGCTCGGCTGCCTGCCTGTTATCATCTCTTTCGACGGATCTCGATCGGGAGACGCCGCGGCCCGACTTTTGGCAAATTCTCAGCTGTTTCTTCTTGATGACGGTTGCCGTGTTTCTAGAACAGACCCGTCACCTTTCCATTCGACACCGAGACACGCTTCGTGGCGTTGCCTTTGCGGCCCCTGCTGCGTTCAACATCCTTGCGGACGTCAGTGGCCACCGGGGTCTGGGTTCAGAAGAAAATGAATCCAGGCGTCCAACACCCAAAAGTACACACTAATCACTGGAATGTTGAACAACGGCATCGTGCCTTACCGCCGCCATCATCAGCCCACCTTGCTGCATTCGAAGATCACTCGCAGTCGTCCTATCCTGCCGTCACCGACTCGTATCCAACTAGCGGCGGCCCTTACGAGGTGTCGCCAACAGCGAAACGGGTAAGGATATCAGGCGTCCTAGCATCTTCGTCGGCTGCAGGCTGGGCCACAGGTCAACAGCATGGCCAAGCTCATGATGCAGCAGAACTAGGGCCATCTGCTGAAACGGACCCAGGAGTTCCCAAGTCCGGTTACCGTGAGAAGAAGAATGACGATATCACGGTGAAGAAGTCGTCCAACGCAACATCGCAAAGCGGCGGTGGAGGCGGCGGCACGAACAACAGCAGCAGCAATGTCAACGCTAATAACAACAGCAACAAGTCTCGCCGGGTCCGCACTGGGTGTCTAACCTGCCGTGGCCGCCACCTCAAGTGCGATGAAGCCTTCCCGGAATGCAACAACTGCCGAAAGAGTTGTCGTAAATGCAAACGGGGTCTACGCCTGAACTTCATCGACACCCGAGTCAAAAGTCCACCATTTGTGCCGCCCACGTTGGAGTGGTCAGGTATGTCGTTGTTCCGGTCCCATAGTTCAAAAACCCAAACATCCGGTGCCGGTCACCGGAAGGCTGCATAACTGCATGGAAGATGCTGACACATGGGTTACTTGCCTACAGTACAATTTCAAGACGAGTCGCGGCTGATTGCGTCGGAGTATCAAGGCGGATTGGGACGCTATCCCCGGCTTCTGGATCAGAACACAGTCGTCGTCGTCACGCCTCCTCCTCCTCATGAGACAGACCTGAATGCCGCGCTCCGCGTTGTCGTTCAAACTCACCAGAAACAGGATGCCGGTGCCGGCAAGACCTACCGCCTGACGACGACGGACACCGACGTCGCTCATCCTCCTCCTACTCCGGGCCTCGGTGAGCAGCAGCAGGAAGTTGGAATCGACAATGACAGTGCTGCTGCTGCTGCTGTCGCTGCTGCTTCTGGATTGATAATAAAACTCCCCCCTGACCAGCAGACTTATGATGGAAGTCAGTTATTCCAGCCTCAAGATTTGCACTTGCCGAATGATAGTGACAATCCCTTTACGATGCGCGTCAAGATCTCACAGGTAAGCACATTCTATCCAGCAACCTTTCTCAAGAGTGCACTTGTACTGACGGAAGCTTTACAGCAATACACATCAAAGGATGGATGGGCATCGCAAGCCCATGGGTACAGGAGGAGCGAGGTATCAAGTACAGTGCCTTCTTTTCCTCAACATGGCCATCGCCGTCGGTCAACACAACAGCACACTGTCCCTTTGGCAACCTACGGACTTCAAGCCAGTCAAACACAGCACGCACCCGAAACCATGGCAATAAGCTCGACAGCGAGGACTACTGCACTCGAGAAACCGACTGTCGAGCGGGACTACCTTAGCACCGACACCGAAATCCATCTCATGCAGGTGTTCATCAGCGAAGTTGCTCCCTGGATGGACATCCTCAACAAAGACAAGCAATTTTCCAACATGATGCTCGACCTAGCCCTCAAATCGCCCATGCTTCTCAATGCGCTTCTGGCCTGTGGAACCATGCATCTCTCTCTGACACAACAACAACAACACTCCTCTCACTCTTCCCAGCCTCCCGGTACCAGCAACAGTAATGTCACCAACAACAACAAAGAAACACAGTGTGCGTACTACTATGATCTCGCAACCATGGAACTCTGGCGCAACCTCGAAAACACCAGCACCACCCCATCATCGGACCGTAATGCAGCCGAGTGTGCCACCACGGCTACTGTGCTCAATGCGTACGACATAATGATGAGAATGAACAGCGGCAGCGGGAACCCGTCCCCGTTATCGAGATCTCAGCAGCAGCAGCAGCGGGTAGTGGTAGGAGCAGCAGATTACCAATACCACATCGCCGGCTGCGCCAGGGCGCTGGTAAAAGAATGCGTCGGGTGGAACGCGAACTCAAACTCCATGTCCGCGCTGGGAACTGGGACTGGGACTGGTACTGGGACTGGTACTGGTGTGGGGGAAGCTTGTTTCTGGTTTAACGCGTGCATGGAGGTGCTTGGTTGTTTGCAGCCGGGGCTGGTGGCGATGAACTGGAACAACAACTCGATGAACTCGTGGCAACAGACCCCAACCTCACCGAGTCCCACCGTTTCTGTCTCCGTTTGGGATCCGGATCAGTGGGGGTTGGATGTTAATGTTGAGCGATGGACTACTGCAACAACTGCAACTGCAACTGCAAATGCTACCGGAAGTAATACGACGGTGGGCATGGGAATGGGAGTTGGTAACGGTAACGGTAACGGCAACAGCAGCGGAGAACAAGAGCTCTGGGCGCAACGCATCCTCTACGTCCTCGCCAAAGTCGTCAACTTTTGCTCTGCAACTGCAACCAACAACAGCGTCTCACGCTACCAGGAGACAATGGTCTCGCCTCACGACGAACAGATGCGTCTCCAGAGGCGATTCACAGAGTGGAAGAGCCTTAACGACATGTGCGACGTGTGGAAAAGTAACTGTCCTCGCTCGATGCGGCCGTACGGGTATGCTCACTCGTCGAGCAATGGGTCGTTATTTCCTAATGTTTGGTAAGCCTCCTTCCCCCCTTTCTCTCCATCCCTACACTATGTATCTTCTTCCTCTCCCATACATAGGTACATGTACAAAACAGAATGATGACTGATAAGTTTTTTTTGGGACAAAAAGGCTCATCAAACCCCCCGCCCTCATCGCCCGCCTCTTCTACCACGTAGCCATGTGCATCCTCGCCCAAGTCAACCCGGTAACTCCCCGCGACAGCGACGCCAACCGCGAGCTGCAGCAACATCACGCGCGGCAGGTGTGCGGGATCGCCGCGCATAACAAAGATCGCGCCGTGGCGCCGGTAGTGACACGTTGCGTTGCTACGACGGGCGGTGTGCTTTCCGATCGAGCTGAGCAAGCGGAAGCGTTGGCGATTCTGGATAGGGTCAGCAACGAGACGGGGTGGAGGGTGGGTACGAGTGTGGTGGGTGATATGAAGAGGGCTTGGGAATGGGGAGGAGGTGAGGCTGTTGAGGGGGGTTCGTCAACCGGTGCTGGCAATGGAAATAACAATAATGTTGGAGGAGGCTTCGCTTCAGCTCTTCTCGGTGGTGGTGGTGGTGGTATGACCTCAACAATGGAGTTACCGCTCCCGTTACCTTTACCTCCAAGACCGCCTTCTATATCACAGCTTTTCGGTGGTACTTCCTCATCACAGACGCCACAACCTCATCATCAACAGCATCAACAGCATCATCAACAACCGTCAACAACCAGGATCTCTTCTTCCAACAAGCAAGCAGCAGCAGCAGCAGCAGCAGCAACATAACCAGTACCAACAACACAGCAGCAGCAGCAGCAGCAACTTCTTACTCAAACTCGCCTACTATACCCAGCTTGACGACGACGGCAGCTCCTCCTCCAAGCCGGTTCCAAACGCACCACCACTACCACCACCACCAAAGCCGACCTAGTCCGCCTCCTCCGGGTCCTCCTCCCGCTATGAGCGTCGGTCCACAGACATACCAGGGATGGTATCAACAGGCGCCACCGCCACCTGTTAACATGAGCTCTGCCAGAAGAGAAAGTATGTGTTCGCAGCAGCAGCAGCAGCAGCAGCAAATGGGTGCCACTGGAGGTGGAGGGACAGGAGGGACAGGAGGGAACTCTTCTTCTTCATCTTTGGGATGGGGTTAGTTGCTAGTAGCTCTCTTTGTCAGATAGGTATTGGTCTACTGTAATGAGTCACGTCCTTTTCTTCTTTTCTTCTTTCATACCTCTACACAGATTGTTTGTTCATACTTCATACCTCATAGGGATACTGGGTACCGGGGAGGAGGGGGATACAATAAAAGTTTGAAAGCCTTTTGAGGGGATTTGATGGCTTTTATGAAAAAGAGGATTATTGAATGAATGAGATACCACCTTTCTTTATCCAACTCATATTTCTTTCTAATACAATTTGCTATCGCGAGTGGTTTGGTACAGAAAAGAAATGTTATTGTGTCCAAGGTACTTACAAGCTAGAACATCGCTGATTCCCCCCATCCCTTCCATGTGATCGATAACCTTCTTATACTGACTGACTGACAAGGTCTCTAACTAGTAAGAAGTCAAATGTGATCGCTGCCCAGAATTTAAACTTTACACAAGTGCAAAATTCATTATCACCAACTTGAAGGCAAAAGAGGAAAAGGAAAAAAAAATATCGGGCCAAATAACGATATGGGGGGGATGAGGGATGGATGATCAAAAAAATCAAAAACATACAGCGCCTGAGATTCGCTGGCCGTCACCGACCCAACTACTAGTCAGGCCCTCACTAAGCTTGTGTATGGGAGTGAGAAGGATATCAATCGGGTCTTTTAATCACGTGGTAGGGTCAAAAAACTGAACAATCACCTCCCGTATCAAATCGTTCGTTACGGAGGCATTACAATGAGTGTGGAGGCAGCGCGAAAGAGACTAATACAATTGGGCAGATGACGAGGAAAATGCCTACATCTTGGCGGCGTTCGACGTGCTAACCACAGCTCTGGGATCTGATGCCAACTCTATTTAAAGTATGCACAAGCCCGACTTTTCACTCGTCTGCCTTGACCTACCTCTTTAGTCTGCCTATATCGGCCTACCCCCTTCATCTGCCTGCCCTGCCCTACTTCATTGGTCCAACTATTCGTCGCTCGGTAAAATCCAACATTGACGAGCCCCCAGTATCCGGGAAGAATCCCCGAACCAACGCAATGGCATCATGTAAATCTTCAAAAGACCAAGAACACAAACTAGGGGAGATATTTACCGGAGTCCATCGCAGCCGACGGCTTGATCAACCCTCTCCCACGATTCGCGACTGCGCTATTGAGCCATACCTCCGGAGAGTGGGACATCCGTGACTGTAACAGCCACCGGTGGTAATGCGAACGTGTGCTTAGCGAAGT